AGGGGCCCCTTGTATTATTTTAGAGTCGCCACCCCTTGCCTATGGGTGGTGCTGAATGAGACAATAGTTCCCCCGAAATTTAAATAGAAGCGCCAGAAGGGAGGAGGGCTTGGACAGTGATCGGTGAAACCCATTATTTAAGAAAGTTCCCCACCTGATGCTCATATTAGGGTTGCATGGGCGTCCGCAGGAATTTTTCCAGGGGGGGGCATAATTGTAATGACATCCATGCTTGGTACCTTTTTGACAGTGTCATGAAAGGGAAGGGGCATAGCCATTATCACATAAAGCCAGGGTGAATAGCGTTTTCACAACTATGGTGTCAGGAATATATGTTTGTATTCCTGACACTATAGTGTTCCTTTAAGCAAATTAAAGGACATTTCTGGTCACCATAACAACTTCACCTAAATGAAAATGCTATGATGCCAGGAAGCCCCTGGGTGCTCGCTTTCCTTTAAGGGGTTAAATCGCTCTCAAATGGTTTAACCCCAAAGGCTTCCTCCAGCTCCAGGTCGCTCAGTGGTATTTGGCTTCTGAAACAGAGTGTCAGGAAGTGCAGATTGACGTCAGGCATGGGTGCCGCTGATTGGCTAGAGTGGTCAGTTGACGCTCTAAGCCAATCGCTAGTTCCCGGTTCATAAAATATTTTTACTTTTTTATGAATGGGGAGCTACTGATTGGCTTAGAGTGCCAGCTGACCGCTCTAGCCAATCAGCAACACCCCTACCCAACGGCACTCTGTGCTTCCTGACACTCAGTAAATAAAAGTGAGCACATTAACACCGATATTTTTTTACCTTTGGAGATGAGAAGGTCCAGCGTTTCCCTGCCTGGCCCAGGTACCAAAGCCTTATGATGTGGTGTCCAGAATAAAGTGGAGGGTTGACTTCATTTGTCCTTCCTGCTCCAATCTCCTTTTCCTCTCCTTCATTTGACAGTTTTTTTTTTTCTTCTGACACGGTTTTCTATCCTTGGCCCCTTCTGCTCTTTTACCTTTCTGCTACTTTCTGCTTATTTTGCGCCCTTCTGCTCCTTTCTCATTCTGATCCCTTTCTGCTCCTTACAGACCCTTTCTGCTCCCTTTTCTACTTTACCTTTGTGCTCCTTGCTGTCCCTCCCTTTCTGCTCTTTCTCCTACTTTACCTTTGTGCTCATTCTACTTTACCTTTGTGCTGCTTTACCTTCCAGCTCCTTGCTGACCCTTCCTGTTCATTTCTATATATCTATAGGCTGCTGCCCCCCCAAATCTATGGGCTGCTGCCCCTCTCCCCAAATTTATGGGCTGCTGCCCCTCCCCAAATCTATGGGTCAGGCTGCCCCCAAATCTATGGGCTGCTGCCCCCAAATTCATAGGCTGCTGCCCCTCCCAAATTCATGGGCTGCCCCCAAACTATTGGGCTGCTGCCCCCCAAATCCATGGGCTGCTGCCCCCCAAAATTCCATGGGCTGCCTCTAAATCTAAAAGGCTGCTGCCCCCCAAATCTATATGGGCTGCTGCCCCCTAAATTTATAAGGCTACTGCCCTCCCAAATTCTATGGGCTGCTGCCCCAAACTATAGGCTGCTGCCCCCCCAAATCTATGGGCTGCCCCCAAATATGCTAGTTGCCGCCCCCTCACCCAAATCTATGGGCTGCTCCCCCCAAATCTATAGGCTATCTCAAACCCTCCCCCCATCCCTCACTTACCTGATCTGTAGGCTGTCTCTGGCTGCATGTGTTGCTCCCCTGCGGTTTCAATCAGCAGAGAGAAGCAGGGATAAAATGCAGCTTCCTATCCCTGTCTCTCTCCATACACAGCGCCACCTACTGGCCGGCGCTGGTATTGCAGTTCATTTTAAATCTCACACAAAATAGCAGAACAAGCTGAAAAATCCAGGGGGGGGGCAAGTGTCCCCCCTTGCCCCCCCCCTGCGGACGCCCATGTAGGGTTGCAAGGTGGTCTAAAAGTCTTAGCAATTTTACAGGCACCTTCTTCATGGGATGGGTCCTTTTCAGCAACTGGGCAGTAATGGCTGCTCATTTGCTAGTTTTTTTTATATTACAGTGTTTCGTTTATTACACTGTTTAGTAGATATGACCCTACCTGTGGCATGGCAGGTGTCGGCATAAGGGAAGTTTATAACCATGCTTCCATACTTTACTTTGTAACTAAGTTTAAAATTCACTTTGAATTCTGACTTTAGTGAATAAGCCTTTTAGTGGCTGTCCCTGACAATTAAACAACTTTTTTCCCATCAATCATCTCTCATATTTCTTTTTTTGGCTCAATGGACGGACCTCCGAATCATGAATCAAAAAAATATGCTTCTTCATTGTGAGAGTCATTTGTTTAGTTAAATGTCCATATGGAAAACCTGCCAAACTGATCACATTCAGATGAATTCAGGTTTGTTTGAAACCGAAATGCACACGTCTAAAAGAAATTCATATGGCAGCAGATTTAGTCTATTACAGAGTAGGGAATAAATGAAGATGCCAGGACAAATTATTTTTGTACCATGTAGAGTACAACTACTTGCAGAGCTTTAAGGTAGAGAAGTCTATATTCTATCACCCCTGCTAATCTAGCTAGGAGGCAGGAGGTCTATGCTCCCGTTATCACAGAATTTCTATATCTTCTAGATTTGGTATCAGCAGGAGCCCAGAAATTATGCCCCTCTGATTATTATTACTTGCGTCCTTTGTGTGACACGCATTTAATTTTTCCTCTATTCATCTATACAATTTGCATAATGATATACATTTCAGATTTTTTTTTTTAAATTGAACACAGAAATTGCAAAACAGGGTCAGGGTTAACTTTTTCACTCTAGAATAAAAAGTTCCACATTGAGTACATTCTGATTTACTTCTGGAGATATGTAAAAATCTTTACAGTGGTTTACTTAAAATTACTTCAACACATGAGATTGTTTTATCCTGCTTTAATTAATGTCTTTCTTTTTATAACATATTTAATATTTCACAGTTTAATGATAATTTAACAAAATAAAACTATTTACTTTTTTTTCTGGAGTACCTTGTTGTAAGCCTATTTACAAATAAATCGCATTGTCATTAAAACACTTAAGATTTGAGAGATCAAATCACTAATCTCTCAATTTTATGGTAAGTAAATCTTTTGTTTGTCATTGTTTGTCTTACAGCGCTGATAACAATGTGAAGAATACCTACAAAGCTTTTTTTAAATAAATGGCTTTTGAACCTAACAGGTATCATTGTTTGTAATGCAATATGTTCTCATTTGCTTAACGTTATTTGTCCTTCTCTTTTTTTTTAAAGAATTACTGGATTTCCCAAGAAAGCTAAATCGTTCCCGTAATGAGTCAATAATTAACAGTGCGCCCAAGGGTCAAGCTAAAAGCTAAACACAATATGTATATATGGACTTGTTTTTCTACAGAATGCTATGCAATAAATCTGGCATGCAAATACTTTCAAAATTGATTAAAAAAAAAAATTAAAATTATACAGCATGCTCCAAATGACATTTAAGCACTATATACTGCATTGTTAATTAACGAGACTCGAATTGGAAGTCAACAATTTGTTTAGCCAAAACAGATTAACCCCTTACGGACACATGACATGTGTGACATGTCATGATTCCCTTTTATTCCAGAAGTTTGGTCCTTAAGGGGTTAATATTGAAACAATATAAACAAGCAAATACATAAATAAATACAAATTGAATAATTAAGCAATACAATTATTTCCAATTAATTGAAACAGAGAATATAGGAAACAATGAGGGTTTCACACAACATGCAGACCTTTTTTGAGCTGTTACTGCCTTTAATTAAATTACTATGGATTGTGGATTGAGACAGAGATAGAGGCCCCTTATCCCACAGTAAATGTGTGCATCTACCCAGGCCGATCATATTAGGAAAGTCACAAAATGTGGTCACCAAGACAGGAAAAAGGGCAAAGCAAAGAATGAAAGGTAGAAAAGTCAAATAAATATTTATCATCTGGCCCCCTTATGTGACTATTCCACCACAGGCCAGGTGAAGTACATCTTGAAAGAAGGGCTACAAATGAAAGGTGTCTAAGGCCGAAAGGTGTAAATGGACCAGATTTCAGGAAGGAACAGAACAGTAGAGGTATCTGAATATAAATGCAGTTGTAATATTAGTTACTAGTTACCTGTTACATTAACCTTCAAATTGGTTTTAGTTTACATTTTTATATTTTTCAAGTTATCGTTTCCTTAAAAAATCATATATATATACGTATTCATTTCCTTTTTTTTTTTTTATACGATTCTCTCAGGACTTCCGCAAAACTATTTCATCTCAGTCAGACCAAACACGTTAGTATTTAGTACTGAGATTACTAGATATTTCATTTATTTCTGCCAGTAACAATTTCCTATTCTTCACTCAAAACTGTTCATATGTAATATTTGTATCAATTGGTATGTGTAAGAGCCTGGAGGACAGAGCTCTAGCAACAATAAAGTGGAGTCACAGGTTCTATTCCAAGTCAACTCAGACTCACAACTTTTTGAGATCAGTAAAATGAATACTGTTACACTTGATAAACCATTTAAAACCCCAGAGCTACTGAAGAACTGAGTGTAACTGTTCCAACACTTTGTTATTATTTATTACTTTTATTAATATTTATTTTTGCTTTATGTCATACTCAAAACCTATATATTACACACATAGCCTAGGGTTTATCGTTTTGTGGAATTTACCAGATGGCGTTCAATTGGGCAAAATATACCTGAAAAGTTATGGTAAAATTTCTAAATCTTGCATTTATTCACTATAGCACGAACAGGGAAGAAATAAAAAAGAATTTTAAAATATTAGTAAAAACTAGCCATATTGTACTTTTTATTTCCGCTATTATATATATTTTTTCCATTTAGAATATTCGTAAATCCCTTGTCAATTCGCTGTTATTCGAGGCTATATTTTTACACAGGGTACTGTATTTTTTTAAACTACCAGCAGGTGGCATAGTCAGTCTGTAGATTTTGCCTTCAATTAGAAGGTTAGTGTTTAAATATATGTATGGAGTTTTGTGTGATAAGCACTGCAGTTTATTACCTGCACAGGGGAAAGGGGAGACACAACTGAACTCTATGATAAAGTCTGAACGGAGAAGGTTATAAACATGTTTTTGATTCATGCAGTTCTGCTGTTTTTGAGCTTAGATTTTTCCAGGTAAGTAACAATTTGAGAATGTATTTATTAATGCATTGATTGAATGTTGGTTAATGACATATTCACTGCAATAACCGAAACTGTGATATCAATTTTCTGGCACCCAGATGTCTCTTGTGGGTTGTGTACATGCTTTTAATGAATCTGTGTTAGATTTTCAGATAAAAGTACATATTTTACATTGAGACATGTATGCACTAAACTATGAATTGTAACATTAAACCCAAAAAGGCAACATGCATGCTATAATAGCCAAGTTGTAATTCTAGCTGAGTGGGACATGCTTTCGAAACCACAAATTTTTGCCTAAATTTTGTAATTCAGTGTGTGTGTGTGTGTGTGTGTGTGTGTGTGTGTGTGTGTGTGTGTGTGTGTGTGTGTGTGTGTGTGTGTGTGTGTGTGTGTGTGTGTGTGTGTGTGTGTGTGTGTGTGTGTGTGTGTGTGTGTGTGTGTGTGATATTGAGGAAGACTAAAAGTGTACTTAATTGAGTTTCAAAAATGTTACTGATATCTTTGATTGTAAGGTTTTACTTTTATTGAGTAGTAAATATGTGTATTGCGGATATTAAAGCTTTTTTTCGAAGTTGCTCAGAAAAGGCAGTGTTTATATTGATCTGCAAAGACGTACCTCTAGTCAGGGCCGTTCTTTGGGGTATGCTGCAGGTCAATATTACGCAATAATCATGGTCGCCAGTATCAGGTTGCTAGAGCTCTACCGTGTTCATGTATATGTATAAGTTCTGGCAGTGGTGGTGGGGTGGGGGTGACTTGAGACAGAGTCTGCTTTGCAGGATATCTTGACACCTTATTGTTCAGGACTGAATATCTGCACTTTAATGTCTCAGTATATTAGTTTGACAATTATTGTTTCCCACTTTAGTTTGGTTACTGCTGCCATTTTTAATAATAATACTTATATTGCACTTACAAGTTTAATACCTGTTAGTAAAAATTGTATTTTCATTAGTCTTTCTAATGTCTTTGTTTTGTAAGGATGGGAGATTTTTAATGGTGGGAGGTATTGGATGAGGGGGTATGGCTATGAAGGGACACAGTGAATATTTTGGCACAGAGTGCCCAGGGGCTTAAGGTCAGCTGTGAAACTAGTGGTAGTCACTGACACAGTCAAGAGTGGCACTCACTGCTACAGTCCTGCAATCTTTGTAGGGCCAACGTTCTGCGCCTTAACACTTAGTATGAAGACGCTGAATTCTCCCCATATTGATGCATTGAGCTAATAAGGAGATTATTGGCTTATATATAATAGCTTATTGGCGAGGGCACAGCAATTTACACACTTGCACAGTAGCCTATATGAAAGCGTTGGGTTGAAAGAGGTCATGGTCACTGATGATCTCAGCTGGGGGTGGAATGGCAGCCACATTTTGGCATTGACAAAGGTGAAACCCGAAATGTCCTTCAAATATACTGTATGTAGCACTCTCTATGCATATTTGGCATCTAGTTGTGCTGCCTTGGTTTTTTTATATTCTGTACTTAGCATAATGTTCAGAAATATATGCAAACAAATTTAAATATAAACACGTTTAAAGAGTAAATGTGAGGTTCCTGTATTTGCTGTAATCCAACTTTTGCAAAGACTGGGAAGTAGCTAAAACACTGTCAGCCAATCTGACATTCTCATTATTAAAGGGACACTATAGTCACCAGAACAGTTACAGCTTATTGAATTTGTTCTGGTGAGTAGAATCATTCCCTTCAGGCTTTTTGTAGTAAACACTGTTTTTTTATCAGAGAAAAGGCAGTGTTTACATTACAGCCTAGGAATACCTCCACTAGCCACTCCTCAGAGAGCTACTAGAGGTGTTCCACCCTCTGCCTGGAGACACTGAGCTCTCCTCATAGAGATACATTGAGTCAATGCATCTCTATGAGGAGCTGCTAATTGGCCAGGGTCGTGTTTGGCTTGTGCTCCTGATCTGTCTTCTTGACAAGCTCAGCCAATCCAATGCTATCTTATGGGAAACTATTGTGATTGACTCAGATTGGCTCAGGCCCACTGCTGATGATGTCAGCCAAGAAGGCAGATCATGAGCAGAGCCAGCAGCAGCAGACTGGAATAGAGGTACAATTTTACTGTATTTAGGGGGGCAATGTGGGTCAAGGGGGCTATACAGTGTTTTTAACACTATAGGGTCAGGAATACATGTTTGTGTTCCTGACCCTATAGTGTTCCTTTACCAGTGTGAATGCATTAAATGCATAATAAGCCCCTAAGAAAGCCCCGAGGGGGTGATTATCATTAAGAATCCCACTCCACACATGGGAGATGAGGGAGTTAACCTAAACCTCTGTAAATAAATTTGTTTCTGTGGTAGGTAAGGAACAGCAAAGGAACATAATAGAATGTAAGCGTGGCTTTATTTCTTTTAACTTTTAAATACAAAATACCATAATATATATATATTGATTTCTATATAATTCACACTTTATCAGTGCATGTATCCCACGATGCTATGTTCCTAGTAAATAAATATATACCGTAAATGTTTCTATCTTTACTATTTCTTGTACTTTCATCATACATTGTTTGTGTGTTTGTTTTTGTTTTGTTACAGAGGTGAGGAGTATTTAAAGACCACCAAATGGGAAAAAAGTAGGAAAGCAAGATCAGTGCAGGAACCTCCTCAGCCGATTGACTGTGAGTTGTCCAGTTGGTCTGGTTGGAGTGGTTGTGACCCCTGTGAGAAAAAAAGAGTAAGTACAGACATGAAGTATTTTACAGAAATAGTTGTTTTTTTATATGTTCAGGTTTTAACACACTTTAACACAAATAAAACTGTATACAAACCAATTTAGAGCTGGCATTCTCTAGTGTATCATCAAACAAGATTTATCTGGCATTCCATACCCTACAAGTAAGCTAGACTTGACTTTCCCTGGTGACCTTCTCAGCAACTTAGATGTTTAAGCAGAATAGACAAGGCATTCGTAGGTAACCATTTAAACAGGTCCATTTGTCTTCATTTCAGTAGAGGACACCCATTCCAACTCCCACCTCTTCCACTTACATACCACCCAAAATTCCACCCTGTGTGTTAAATAAACAATACAGTAAAATAAGTGTGGGATAATTAAACAAGGAACTTCGCCAAGTTTGATCTCATTCACTAAAAACTAGAAGCAAGGGGGAGGCAAACTGGTAACCATAATAACAGTAATCAAATGGACCGCTAACAGAATCTTCATTATTTTGTGTATTTTACTTCTTTTTTCTGTATAGTACAGATATGCTCAGCTAGTAAGACCCTCTCAATTTAATGGAGAGCCTTGCGGGACAATTGACAAAGAAGAGGAGTCTTGCTCTACCAACAGTCCTTGCAGAAATACCAAGCGATGCGAAGGGTTTCAGTGTGTAGAATCAGGTATGGTAGATCTGTTACTTTTTTTTTCATATTAAACATCAGAATTCACACCTATCATAGCTTAGACAGATATCTACAGTGCTCATTTCAATATATCTGCTCATAGTGAGCATAGTGTTAAGGCATTGTTTTAACTTTCTTTAATGATCAGGTAACAGTGTAATTGTGCATAACAGTCCCAATGGAAATATTAGTGTTATTACCACTGTGCTGGGATCACAGATGCTTGTTAGACACTTGCCTGCAGCTATTTGTTGGTGTTGAGAGTCATTTGGCTGTGGCTTAATGCTAGTTCCACCCATTCTTGTCAACTGTCTTAATGTTTGTCCCACCCACTCTTGTCTATTGTCTTACCACTTTGAAAGCCAATGGCAATTGTAAACACTGAGTCCTCCTCATTGAAGATCACATGGGAGACCACGTTGCTTGGCAATGTAGCTCACCGTTCCTTTGCTGCTTGAGATTTTGTTGAGTGTTTGTGTCTGTATATATGTGTCTGCGTATATGTTTTACTCATTTCTGGATTTTTGGTTAATTAACATAATAGCAATTGATGAATATAGCCTGTTATTTTAAAAATGTTGTGTTATTTCTTTCTTACACCGCAAGGAAAATGTATTGTACGCAGACTACTATGCAATGGGGACGATGACTGTGGCGATCGGTCTGATGAGAAAAACTGTAAGACAGTTCGAAATCCTTGCACTGATGATATGGAGCAGTACTGGGCCATAGAAAACCTGGCAAGTGGGTAGGTATCCTTCAAAGAAAATACATAATTTATCGACTGCAAAGCAGGGGTAAAACACATGTACATAGTGGGCACTGGATAGCAATAGCTATCAACCATAACCTCCTCGAAACAAACCCCCCACCCCCAATGAAGATATACACCAATCTTGGATGAAACCGGCAACTGCATTTAATAAACATATAACTACGATATAACACTTGCTTCTTTTATTATATACGTATAAATCTTTATTACATATAACAAACAGCAATACATAACAAATAAATAACACATAGAGTCATACAGAATAACCTTAATTAAACTTTATTAAACTTTAGCTAAACATCCTCGCCAAACTCTAACCAACCAAATACATACGCTTATCACCCCCCACAGGGTCTTCTCTTCCCCCTTCATCCACCAATTTCCTTTTAACCTTTCAATGCCAACCACTAGGTGTCTTTTGGCTCAGTGGGCAAGTCCAAACCGGTCAAACTGTCTGTCAGTCAACTGCAGCTTTAATGTGGAAAAAAGCATCTTGAACCGTCTACCTCTATGAGTTTATATATGGCAAGTTACACTCTCAGATGTATCAAACTATTCAATTTAGAATTTATGTAAAATTTTACAGTGATATTGCTTTGTGTCTTTTCCAGAATTAATTTGTTCACAAATAACCATGAAGGATTGGTTTTGGACCACCGCTATTTTGCTGGAGGCTGCTCTCCGCATTATATTTTGGATACAAGATTTAGAAAGCCTTACAACGTTGAAAATTACATTCCACAAGTAAGTCAGTCTCAATGGGTACCAAGCAAAAATACTTCTGCTAGAAGTTTATTCTTATTGAAAAAAAGTTACCTGAATGCATTAACATGCTTGTTATCATTATTGTAATGTATGTCTAAAGACTAGATGATTTATACTACTTCAACTGGTAGAATCATTTCTTTATAATTGCAAATATAAGGGTGAATCACACTGAAAACTTCATGGTTACGACAGAATCAATGGGGTATATTCCCATTGTCATAGCCAAGACTGGAAGCAAACCATTAATTTAACAAAGTTTTGATTAGAAAATTGGCTCACCTGAAAAATTCTGTGATGCAAGACGGAGCAAGGGAAATTTATGAGTGATTCTTGATATTCATCAATTGCTATTATGTTAATTAACCAATATATTAATAATTATTTTGGGTAAATTCAGAAATGAGTAAATCATTTATCTTCCATTATACAATGCTCTTACAACAGATTATTAAAATACATGTTTGCTTATTTAGCTCTATCACTATTTAATTTGTCTCCCATGTTGGAATTAGTGTAGAACCCACCAATATTGGGTTGGACTTAACACAATATGGCCACATTGTGGAACTGAATCCCACGATTTGTTTGCCGGGATAGGTGATTTTAGGTAGCCTTATAAAATTTAAAAATATATTTTTATGTGTGCATTGTTCCTTAATTTAATTCAGAACTTTTAACAGTATTTGCTATCCTTGGCTCACAAACACTCTATCAAACTGTAATCGAGTGAGGGTTCATTATCCTTTTAAATAATGTTATTTATGTTAGTAATATTTAGAGTATGCAAATTTTTGTGGCAGATTTGTGGTAGACTAATGATGACCAAAGTTGAAAAAGTTTTGATGTATAATTACCTAAATTGTAATTGTACAACTATAGATAACTAAATTTCCATTTTTCTCTAATAAATATAATAAATATATTTATTATATATATTAAATATATGTTTTATATATATACAACTCAGTTCTCAACAATATTTATGGAATAGACCCCTGAATCTTATTATATTTATTTTATATATATATATATATATACAACTCAGTTCTTAACAATATTTATGGAATAAATATCTCTTACAACTATAGGTTACTCTATTTTGTTTTAATATATATTTAAATATATATCTTCTCTGTCTGTACTCTAAATAAATCCATTATTTTCCAGACTAAGGGAGAATATGAGTTTAAACTGTCTGAATATGAGTCCTATTCAAATTTTGAAAGAGATTTCTTCAGTGCTCATGCTCACCAATCCAGTTTCAAATTTGGACTAATAATCCCAGCCGTGATTGAAATTGGATTCAGCTACAGTGACATGAATTTCAAAAAAACTGTTCAAAGGATAAAGAAATACTCCCACACTGTAAGTATGCCAAGGATATCTTCCACCTTCAAATCCCACACATTGATATCACTGAAAAAATATATTCAGCAAGGCTAAGCAGTGTATATCAGGCTACCAATGATCCTTCTCTAAGCAGTGTATATCAGGCTATCGATGATCCTTCTCTAAGCAGTGTATATCAGGCTATCGATGATCCTCCTCTAAGCAGTGTATATCAGGCTACCAATGACCCTTCTCTAAGCAGTGTATATCAGGGTACCGATGATCCTCCTCTAAGCAGTGTATATCAGGCTACCGATGACCCTTCTCTAAGCAGTGTATATCAGGCTACCGATGACCCTTCTCTAAGCAGTGTATATCAGGCTACCGATGATCCTCCTCTAAGCAGTGTATATCAGGCTACCGATAATCCTCCTCTAAGCAGTGTATATCAGGCTACTGATGACCCTTCTCTAAGCAGTGTATATCAGGCTACCGATGACCCTTCTCTAAGCAGTGTATATCAGGCTACCGATGACCCTTCTCTAAGCAGTGTATATCAGGCTACCGATGATCCTTCTCTAAGCAGTGTATATCATGCTATTGATGATCCTTCTCTAAGCAGTGTATATCATGCTATTGATGATAGCCAGGAGCACACATATTCTAAACTCCCTACTGAGATTGTCTCTAAAACAAGTCATTGTGGAGCCAACTTGTAAAGAGGCCATACTAGATTTAGTGTTAACAAATGGAGATTTGGTCTCAGATATTACTGTAGATGAAAGTTTAGGATCCAGTGATCATCAGTCAGTGTGGTTTAATATAAGAACAGTGACTGAGTCACACCACACAAAAACAAAAGTTTTAGACTTTAAAAAAAAACAGACTTTTCTAAAATTAGAATATGTGTAAAGGAGTCATCAGACTGGAGCAATTTAAATGGAGTCCAAGAGAAATGGGATTATTTAAAAGTTGCACTGCTGAAGGCAACAGAAAAATGCATTAGGTTTGTCAGTAAAAGCAAAAAATTCAAGAAATCACTGTGGTTCTCCGCAGATGTGGCCAAAATAGTAAAAAACAAAAAGTTAGCATTTAGTAATTATAAAAAAAAAACAGAGTGAGGAAGACAGAATGATCTATAAGATTAGGCAGAAAGAGGCTAAGCAAGTTATAAGAGCTTCCAAATCACACACAGAAGAGAAAATAGCACAGTCAGTACAAAAAAAGGGGACAAAATTTTTTTTAGATACATAAATGAGAAAAGAAAAGTAAAACAAGGATTAGTTAGATTAAAAACAAAAGAAGGAAGGTATGTAGAAGAGGATAAAGGTCTAGCTGACTGCCTCAATGAATATTTTTGTTCAGTATTTACAGATGAAAATGAAGGAAAGGTACCTCAGGAAAAAGGACAAATTAGTAATTTATTACATGTGAGTTTACAGAGGAAGAGGTTCTATTTCAACTGTCAAAAGTAAAGACAAATAAGTCAATGGGACCTGATGGAATACACCCAAAGCTATTAAAAGAGCTTAGTGGTGTACTAGCAAAACCATTAACAGACTTATTTAACCAATCATTGTTAACAGGAGTAGTCCCAGAAGATTGGAAGTTAGCGAATGTTGTGCCCATTTACAAGAAAGGTAATAGGGAGGAGTCGGCAACTATAGGCCAGTAAGCCTTACTTCAGTAGTGGGGAAAGTGATGGAAACCATGTTAAAGGATAGGATTGTTGAACATCTAAAAACACATGGATTTCAAGATCAGAGACAACATGGGTTTACTTCAGGGAGATCATGCCAAACTAATCTCATTGATTTTTTTGATTGGGTAACTTAAATAATAGATCAGGTTGGTGCAGTAGACATTGCTTATCAATAAATTGCAATCTTTAAGTTTGGGTTCCAATATTGTTGAATGGGTAAGGCAGTGGCTGAGTGACAGGCAACAGAGGGTTGTAGTCAATGGAGTATATTCGAATGGCTTGTCACCAGTGGGGTACCTCAGGGATCTGTACTTGGACCCATTCTCTTTAATACTTTTATTAGTGATATTGCAGAAGGTCTTGATGGTAAGGTATGTCTTTTTGCCGATGATACTAAGATATGTAACAGGGTTGATGTTCCAGGAGGGATAAGCCAAATGGCAAATGATTTAGGTAAACTAGAAAAATAGTCAAAGTTGTGGCAACTGACATTTAAAGTGGATAAGTGCAAGATAATGCATCTTGGAGGTAAAAACCCAAGGGTACAGAATATTTGATAGCGTCCTAACCTCAACATCTGAGGAAAGGGATTTAGGGGTGATTATTTCTGATGACTTAAAGGTAGGCAGACAATGTAATAGAGCAGCAGGAAATGCTAGCAGAATGCTTGGTTGTATAGGGAGAGGTATTAGCAGTAGAAAGAGGGAAGTGCCCATGCCATTGTACAGAACACTGGTGAGACCTCACTTAGAGTATTGCACACAGTACGGGAGACCGTATCTTCAGAAGGATATTGATACTTTAGAGAGAGTTCAGAGAAGGGCTACTAAACTGGTTCATGGATTGCCGGATAAACCTTACCAAGATAGGTTAAAGGATCTTAACATGTATAGCTTGGAGGAAAGAGGAGACACGGGGTGTATGATAGAAACATTTAAATACATAAAGGGAATCAACACAGTTAAGGAGGAGACTATATTTAAAAGAAGAAAAACTACCACAACAAGAGGACATAGTCTTAAATTAGAGGGTCAAAGGTTTAAAAATAATATCAGGAAGTATTACTTTACTGAGAGGGTAGTGGATGCATGGAATAGCATTCCAGCTGAAGGGGTAGAGGTTAACACAGTAAAGGAGTTTAAGCATGCGTGGGATAGGCATAAGACCATCCTAACTATAAGATAAGGCCAGGGACTAATGAAAGTATTTAGAAAATTGGGCAGACTAGATGGGCCTAAGGGTTCTTATCTGCCATCACATTCTATGTTTCTATCAATGATCCTCCTCTAAGCAGTGTATATCATGCTATCGATGATCCTTCTCTATGCATTGTATATCAGGCTACCGATGATACTTCTCTAAGGAGTGTATATCAGGATAATGATGATCCTCCTCTAAGCAGTGTATATCAGGCTACTGATGATCCTTCTCTAAGCAGTGTATTTCTGGCTACCAATGATCCTCCTCTAAGCAGTGTATATCAGGCTATCGATGATACTCAGCTAAGCAGCATATATCAGGATAATGATGATCCTCCTCTAAGCAGTGTATATCAGGCTATCGATGATCCTTCTATAAGCAGTGTAAATCAGGATAACGATGATCCTTCTCTAAGCAGTATATATCAGGCTACCGATGATCCTCCTCTAAGCAGTGTAAATCAGGATAACGATGATCCTTCTCTAAGCAGTATATATCAGGCTACCGATGATCCTCCTCTAAGCAGTGTATATCAGGCTACCGATGATCCTTCTCTAAGCAGTGTAAATCAGACTACCGATGATCCTTCTCTAAGCAGTGTATATCAGGCTACCGATGATCCTCCTCTAAGCAGTGTATATCAGGCTACCGATGATCCTTCTCTAAGCAGTATATATCAGGCTACCGATAATCCTCTGCTAAGCAGTGTATATCAGGCTACCAATGATCCTTCTTTAAGCAGTGTATATCAGGCTATCAATGATCCTTCTCTAAGCAGTGTATATCAGGCTACCGATGATCCTTCTCTCAGCAGTGTATATCAGGCTACCGATGATCCTTCTCTAAGCAGTGTATATCAGACTACCGATGATCCTTCTCTAAGCAGTGTATATCAGGCTACCGATGATCCTCCTCTAAGCAGTATATATCAGGCTACCGATGATCCTCCTCTAAGCAGTGCATATCAGGCTACCGATAATCCTCTGCTAAGCAGTGTATATCAGGCTATCAATGATCCTTCTCTAAGCAGTTTATATCAGGCTACTGATGATCCTTCTCTAAGCAGTGTATATCAGGCTACCGATGATCTTCCTTTAAGCAGTGTATATCAGGCTACCGATGATCTTCCTCTAAGCAGTATATATCAGGCTACCAATGATCTTCCTCTAAGCAGTATATCTCAGGTTAATGATAATCCTCTGCTAAGCAGTGTATATCAGTCTACCAATGATCTTCCTTTAAGCAGTGTATATCAGGCTACCGATTATCCTTCTCTAAGCAGTATATATCAGGCTACCGATGAGCCTTCTCTAAGCAGTGTAAATCAGGCTACCGATGATACTCCGCTAAGCAGTGTATATCAGGCTACCGATGATCCTCCTCTAAGCAGTGTATATCAGGCTACCGATGATCCTCCTCTAAGCAGTGCATGTGAGACTGTTGCCAGAGTTAGACTCGCCTATAGATATTTTTAGAATAGTCAAGAAACACAGCAGTTTACACAGGAAGGAGGAAAATTAAAAAGCACCAAAAACTCATTTTTAGTTTAAAAATAGCATACATTGATTGATGTACTATAATGTATCAAACGGTACATTTACTTTATGGTTTCTCTTTAAGTGACACCCCAACACCAAAATCCAGTTGCGTCATAATGCTACTCTTTGCAAGGTGAGATAGCTTTAAGATCAAAGTAGTAACACCGAGAACTATAAGAATTAATGAATGTGCAAGATGTAAATGAGGCTATCCTGAATAATAAATAGTCAAAGTCACCTGAGAATTCATAATGAACAGGTTACATGAGCCAAGTGATTCTTAGGCTTGATTACAGTCTACTGTCTTCTTCAGGACAAGGTATGAGTCAAATCTCGAATCTTGGTTTGAATAGCAGTAATTAACAATATGCATAATTTTTGGTGTCCTCTACATCTGAATATATTGCAGTGACATAATGTACTTATATATCTGAATTATTTTTCTTTTTACAAAATATTTCTCACCAGTAAGGATATATTGAAATTTCTCACTTTTTTTTTCTTTCTTTTTTTTCTTTTTTTCTTTTTATAGAGCAGTACATTTATCCATGCCAAGTCTACTTTGGAAGTGGCAAAATATAAACTAAGGTCCCGGAACTTTATGCTTCATTCCGAGTTTTTCCAGCGAGTGAAACAGTTGCCAATTGAATATGTCTATGGAGAATATAGAGAACTCTTCAGGGACTATGGAACTCACTTCATTACTGAAGCCACTTTAGGAGGCACTTATGAATATACCTTAATTCTGAAGACTGACACCATAAAAAATGAAGGTACATGTTTCTATGTATTAAATTGTAATAACAAGTGGAATCTCATGGTCTTAGATTTCAAACAAATGGTTACCCGATTTTTTTACCCAACTTTATGGCACTCGTTAACAATGCCAGTAATGAACTTGTAAGCCTAGGACAGTTTCTACAGTGTACTAACTAAAAAAGTAATTTCTGTTTGTTTTTTTATATAAAAATGATATACTAATTAGATGTTTCCAATAGGTTATTCGTTAAATGATGTACAGTCCTGTCTCCAGGCTGGATTTACACTTGGAGGAAATATTAAAGGCATTTGGGTTAGTGTCAGCATGTCAGCATCTGCATGTAATTCTCTTTTAAAAGAAATTGGAGGTAAGTCAACTCATGCTTATGGAACAAAACTAACAAATACATATTGAGACGTGTAAAAAAAAAAGGGAGGGTAGCTGAAATTAGAAAAATTCTCTTATATTGACTGATATGTGTCCAGGGCTGCACCTCTTCTGTGGAACTCCCTACCCTTCTCCTCAAGACTTTCACCCAGTCTCCATCCACTCAAAAAATCATTGAAAACTCACTTCTTCAATAAAGCACATCAATTAAACTGTTAGCAGGTTTTTATCCCCCACCTCTCATGACTCCTCTCCTGCAACTGTCAAAAATAACTTACTAAGTCCTCAGTGAATACTTTTCTAACAACGTACTTCGTACCCCTACTTTTACCCTTTGTGTCATTATACCCCACTCGCTCTAGAATGTAAGCTCACTGAGCAGGGCCCTCCACCTCTCTGTTCCTGTATGTCCAGTTGTTTGGTTACAATTACATGGCTGTTGGTCCACCCATTGTACAGCGCTACGGAGTCTGATGGCGCTATATAAATAATAAAATAATAATAAATAATGTGTCACAAGAGCTGAGTGATTTTAAACTTAAAGAAAGGACAAGTGGTCCCAAGTCCTATAGTCCATAAGACATTCATACAACAAGGAGCCGGGCTGCACGGAATGTAACACCTTCTTATCATTCTTTATTTTCTGCCTATTGAAAATTACATCAATTAAAAATCAAAAATACAAATAAATACAACAAGTCCACATCCCTATATTTATGGCAAAAGAACCTTAGTAAAAAAATCTCAACTTTTTTTTTTGTGTAGAATTTCATACATCCATTTCTATAATGGTCTGAAATTCTACTATTGACTGATAATTAACTTTCATTTCCTAGATATCATATCATTTTAATGTTGTGTTACAGACAATTATTCCACACATAAGATGGTGGAGGACTTTGTTGCTCTTGTTCGAGGAGGATCAAGTGAGCATATAACAACCCTTGCTCACAAGAGTCTTCCAAACCCCGATCTAATGCAGGAGTGGGGTGACGCAGTCTACTATAATCCCGAGATCATAAATACTAAGGTATTACACATTTTGTATACATAGTGAATTATATTATATTATGCACACAGGCATCTTTTTTCAATGTTTACTGTAGAGAAATATGAATTAGGCCAGACTTGCAAAAACTGAATTTAAAGGGACACTATAGTCACCAAAACAACTTTAGCTTAATGAAGCAGTTTTGATGAATAGATCATGCCTCTGAAGTTTAAGTGCTCAATTCACTGCCATTAAGGAGTTAAATCACATTTGTTTCTGTTTATGCAGGTTTCATTTCCAATCAGATAGTAACTTGCATTACAATTTTGTATTATCAGCTCTCTAAATTGAACTTTAATCACATACAGGAGGCTCCTGCAGGGTTTTGCAAGCTATTAACAGAGCATAAGTTAAGAAATGCTACATTAAACAGAAATTGCAATAAAGGAAGTATAAACATTAGATGACTCTTTACAGGAAGTATTTAGGAAGGCTGTGTAAGTCACATGCAGGGAGGTGTAACTAGACTGCATAAACAAAGTGATTTAACTCCTAAATGGCAGAGAATTGAACAGTGAGACTGCAGGGACATTATCTATACACCAAAACTGAATCATTAAGCTAAAGTTATATTGCTGACGATAGTGTCCCTTTAATTCATGTCTAAAAGTGAACCTTTCATTATTTGCATATGTGTGATGGATCAAGTGCTCTCTACATGAATTATAATATATTATTATAAGTAATTATTGAATCTCTTATCTTGATAAAATAATCAGAAAACACATAGAGGCTCAATGGTAAACTAAACCTGAATGTTGCATCTGTGTCTCGGTTATGTATGGTAAGTACATCCATATGCTTCTGCAAAACCAAGAGTAATATCCACTAGCATAGAGCTATAATTTAAAACATTAAAATAAATATCCACTTTGTTATATTAAATTGATTAGTGCTCTTTTAGGACCAGCAGACTTTTCAGTACCATAGATTGGCATTGTAGGTATTAGTAGTTGGTCATCTACAATTTGATAAGCAAATCTGTGATTTTGATTGACATACATGGGCCTGATCAGGAATAGTAATAGTATTCGATAACTATCTGTAGCTTGGATTGGCATGAGAAATATAACAATTAGTAGCCATAGAAGTAGCCACAATGCAGTTCTGCATCATTTCACCATTCTTTGTGGTGTTCTAATGCAAGTTCTAATACAAGTCTTTTTCTCTGAAGGTATCCCATTGTTAATCTACCATAGTAGATGCACAGATATGCCCACTTTTGAAATTAAATCTTGATACCCTTAGTCACCAAAAGTGAGGTTGTTTGTGAACAGTTATTCACCAGTAGATTTCACTAAAAGATAAAGTATTCAAAAAAAAAAATATTTCTAGTTTCACTACTGGTAGGCAAGGTTGACTATTTAATAGAAGTGAAATAGTACGGGTAGGTGAAATGTGGCTCTAGCTTACATGGGAGGTATACTATTAAGAAATGAGAAAAAACTGGCTGAATTTTGTAACAGAATGACTAAACAAGCCAATTGATGCTCAATTGTTGGTATAACTGGGTATATATGTCAGTCATAGAATTCAAATTATAGAAATATGGAAAGTGACGGCAGATAAGAACCATTCGGCCCATCTAGTCTGCCCAATATTTTGAAGTACTTTTAATTAGTCCCTGGCCTTATTTTATAGCTAGGATAGCCTTATGTCTATCCCACGCATGCTTAAACTTCCTCACTGTGTTAACGTCTACCCCTTCAGCTGGAAGGCTATTCCATGCATCCACTACCCTCTCAGTAAAGTAATACTTCCTGATATTATTTTTAAACCTTTGTCCCTGTAATTTAAGACTAAGTCCTCTTGTTGTGGTAGTTTTCCTTCTTTTAAATATAGTCTCCTCCTTTACTGTGTTGATTCCCTTTATGTATTTAAATGTTTCTATCATATCCCCTCTGTCTCGTCTTTCCTCCAAGCTATAATTATACGTAAGTTAAATTTGTATAGAATACTGACGGGAGATTGAGAAGGTTGCAGAAACACATTGTAAACATGTAAATGGATTTAAAAAAAAAAAAACATGAAGCAGTAAATGGTCTACTCTGTGATAATTTGCAGGTCAGTCCTTTGTATGAGCTGGTAACTGTAGCAGATTTTGCTGGAGCCATCAATCTGCGAGAAAACATGAAACGTGCACTCGAAGAGTTTCAGCTTGAGACCAGTACTTGCCGTTGTGTTCCCTGCCAAAACAATGGGATACTTAACTTCAAGGGTAAAATTTAATTGAATCTAATAGTACATTCATTTTACACCAAAATAGCCCATCTGGAAGCTCAGCTAACTTTAGTCAGTAACCCTGTAAATAATGTTTTATATATTTTGAGTATGAAAAAAATTTGACAAATATTTGTTTTGTGCAGAATCTCGCTGTGAGTGTATATGTCCTTCTGGGTTTCAAGGTACAGCTTGTGAAATCACCAAAAGACAAGGTAAATATGTTGCTAAATAATACAGGTTTGTTAGTTATTCCTCAGATCATCATGTTTTTCTTCCAAAGATGGGAAATGAAAGCAAACCTACTTTAATTTGTTTAATACTTTCAACTGAGTGTTTTTCCAACATTGGAATAACATGTACATTTACCAAATTAGTCAATCTGGGAACCCAAACCATAACAAAGTTTTGTTGTCTTTTATATTTTTTTGGAGGGATGTGGTTTACTAACCAGTATTACCAACTTTTTTAAACAGTATGTTTTTGAAGCATAGCTAAGAGCCTTACTGAATTCCTGCTCCAGAGGCCCACACTTTATTAGGTTCAGATCAAAGGTAGAATTGGGCATTGCTGGGATTTGGTTGTGCTAAGTGTTGCCTTATGGTACCCCCAAGCCCTGAGTAGAACTGTGCTCTGGATGTCTAACGATCATTTCACCAAATCCCTAGCCTCCAAGGGAAGTCGGAAGACTTAATATTATAAGTAGAAGATAGTACAGTAGGTTAGTTTTAGTTTAGTTCTACAAGGCACTAAATAATGCTTGCTAGGTCGACCATCAAAAGAAAGATAATTACAAGCAATTAAAAAAGTATCAGAACCCAAAACCCAATTACACTACCGCATATCTGATCACTAACCGTAACTTAACTCTTTTCAGTTAACTTGGTGTTAAACTGGTAGAAAATGTTTTCACAATTATTGGAGGGACTGTGCCAGGAGACTCCAATCACTATAACCAGTTCAATAAGACGAAATGGTTATAGTGCCTACAAACTGTTCATCTTTCTTGAATGTAAAACCAACAGTAGGCTAAAAATGGTTTATTAATTTCTCTCTAATACTAAAACATTGTAAAATACAACAGAATTGCAATGAAGTAATGATTAAAAAATGCTTGTATTAGGCCTTGACTGGCCATGGGGCAACTTTTATTTTCTCCCATCTGCCCCCCACAGCATACCTTCCTACACATACACACACTGCCCCCCTTACCCCTACTTTCCCTATACACACTATGCCCCCTATAGACACACACTCTCTCATTTTCTATACCCCTAACTGACTGAGACTGACCTATTTACCAAAATACTACACCACAATCAGCTCACTCTACACACACACACAATCTCCAAACACATGCTCGATAGGCTTTCCTGGCCCTTTTGTCCTCCGGTATCCCACTTATGGAGACATCAGAAACAAGTCACAAGCAAAAACAGCACAAGCAAGTAATTCATTTTACTTATGCTGTGCAGTACTAATACAGGGCTGTTTTCTAATGCAAGAGTTCTTCAGCAGGGCTCTGCACATCGTCTGCCCTGGAAGAGTATTGAACCAACATGCTCACTTTGAGAGGGGACATGCTTGTCACTGGTGAAGACAAAACACCACCTCTCTGGCCTCGCCACCATCTCACTGGGCCACAGTGATTTTTTTTTTAAAAATAGGCGGGCCACATTTTTTCCCCAGTCTTTTCCTGGCTTGTTTGATGGCATTAGAGAAAAATATGTTTATTGTGCATTTAGGACTTGATAAAGTGCTTTGTAAACTAGCCTTCAGGACAAATTCCAGCAACTAACAGAGCAGGAGATGACTAAGAATGTATTACATTGATTCAATATTTTGTGATGTATGGTTTGCTGTCTTGCTTTTAGTCAGTGCTGTAGATGGAAACTGGGGCTGTTGGTCCAGCTGGACACCTTGCAAAAGTAGAGAGAAGACAAGACAGCGAGTGTGCAACAACCCGAGTCCACAGAACGGCGGCCAACAGTGCAATGGTGCAAGTGCCGATGCAATAAACTGCTAAATGTATCATGGCTCTGCATGTATTTTATTTAGACAGAGGAAGCCCTTTCTTGAAAGATTATATTCTGTAAAATAGATTTGTTTAACTCCTTAAGTCATTTACATGCAATTTAAAAAATATTCATTTGCTCTACAAAATGTTTAGTAAAAATCAAAATGTTGTCACTTGTTGTCCAGGAAAAGTGATGCTTTGCAAAAAAGATGGGGTCCTTATTGATGACCAGGCAAATACCTCAATTCAATAAGCTTTCCCAATCATTTAGTACTGTCAGAAAAAGTCTCTCAATCATTTATCTACAAAAGTTACCATATATATTAAGGGTGAGTTCTGTAGAAAAATCATTTGGAATAATTTTTTTTTTTTTTAACAGTAATGAATCAATTGAAAAGCTTAATGAATCGAGTCCAACAAATGAAAAGAAGTGAACATTCATCGGGCTTAACTATTGGAATTATCAAGAAATAGGACTGAAACTGGTCCGTCCATATGTTGTAATAAATTCCAAAGATTAAGTCCGACGAGAACTCTCTTCTTTTCATACTTTACATATATATAAACTACGAAGCATATTTTTTTAGTTGTTTCATCATCATATACATGTTGTACTGGGTGGAATTTAGCAATTAAGATGTTTGAAAATCTGTGTTCAGCAGTACAAAATCTGGAAATCATTTTGAAAAATAACAAACATTTATCACATTTGTAAAGTGAGGTCACTGTTTTTTTCTGGATATTAAATATAGTGCATACTTGTTATATTTTTGTGTTTTGTATATTTTTATTTAAGTTTGCATTTTTTCTTATTGTTCTACAGTGACTCATTTAATCAGTCACACGATTTACCCACTGGATGGTTAGCATGTGACATTTGGGTATTTTGCCTACAAGAATATATGCACAAAGCTATACCTTCAGGCATACTCCAATGAACAGGGCATAAACAACTAACATTAAAATGGCAATACCCTTTACTGCATTAAAAAATCCATTCATCATGATCCCCTGTAGACTGATGTACCTCGACTTTTGCCTCCAAGCATGGAATAAAATGATGCCACTTTAATATGCAGGACCTTGGCCAGATTATAAAAATAAAAAAAAACACACCTAAACTCCAGAAATAGAACGGTCAGCATACTTACATAATCATAACAAACACTGAATGGTTTAGTAGTAAGTACACATTTTTAATACTTTGTAGGGCCCCTTTGCCTCAGAACAGCAGGAATAATTTGTGGCATGAATCCAACATTAACACTGATGAACTGACAACTGCTGAAAACGTTTCTTGGTTTCGGAGGTCTATGTTGGTATTATAGCATAAAGTTGTTACTGTAGATTTCTCAGCTGCACATTTATGCTGTGATTCTCCCAACCACAAGTTCTCTATGGTGCTACGATCTGGTGTCTGTAAGGGTCATTGGAATGTGCAGAACACAATGTAATTTCCATGGAAGCAGCTTGAAAAGAGTTGTTTGGAAGTAGTCATTAGAAGATGGGTAGACTGTGGTCGTTTGAGCAACAATAACCTGGTATTGATGTGTGCCAGGAAAATATGCCCCACTCCATTGACAAACTATTGAGACAGTTGGCCACTTTTGAGCCCCCCCCGAGGATGGCGGTGGGCAGCGGGCAGCGAGGGAGCATACTCACCTGAGCTCTTCCTGCTCAGATCCCACCGCGCCGCTTAATGAAGCCAGAATATGACATCAGACCGGCTCCCGGCATCACTAAGCAGAGCACGAGGGAGCTGAGCAGGAAGATTAGAGCTCCCTCGCCACCTACCCTGCCTGTCTGCCCCCTGCTTGTCTGCCCAGCAGCCCTGTGTTGGGAGAAATGTGTATGTGTGTATGTGTCTGTAAGTGTGTCTGTAAGTGAATGTGTGTCTGTAAGTGTGTATGTGTGTGTGTCTGTAAGTGTGTGTCTATGTGAGTGAATGTGTGTGTGTGTGTGTTTTGGTCAGTGTGTGTCCAAGTGTAAGTGTGTGTGTGTATATATGTCATTGTTTGTCAGTATATATGAGAGTGTGTGTCTGTCAGTGAGTGTATGCGTCTGTCAGTGTGTGTCCAAGTAATAGTGTGTGTATGTCATTGTTTGTCAGTGTATATGAGAGTGTGTGTCTGTCAATGAGTATATGCGTCTGTCAGTGAGTGAGTGTGGCCTTGACAGGAAGGGGTGGGGAAAATTTTAATTTGGGGGTGGCAGCACAAATCCTAAATACACCACTTGCCTTACTACTAAAACAAGAGAAAAGCTTAATTTTGATAGTTTTACAAAAATTGGCCCAAGATATGAAAATTTCCATTCCTACAAAAGATTGGTATGATTCAATGATTGTTCCAAAGAAGAATATTCATTGTTTAAATCTAATTGAACTCGAATTTAAGTTACTTAATAGATGGTATCTAACTCCTCAGAAAATGAAAAAGAAATATCCAAACAACATCTGCTTGTTGGAAATGTGGAAAACAGGAAGCAGACTTTATGCATTAGTGGTGGACATGCCCTGTTATCAGGGAACTCTAGAGAGAGGTCCAAATTTAGTTGGATAAAATATTGGATTACAACATAACTTTTACACCAGAAACTGTGATTCTACATTTAAATCTTCTTAAAAACAACAAACAAACCCTTAAAATTATTGCTTCATGTTTTCACAGCAGTGAAAATAGTAATAGCAAGGAATTGGAAAAGCCCAAATAAACCAGACTGGCCCACAATTAAAGCCCAACTCAAATACCAATTGAATATGGAAAAAGATATAAAAACTTCAATAAACGTAAAAGGTAATTTAAATGGTTTATGAGAAAAATGGATAGAAAAATTGGAACTTCTTTAATCGAATTTGATTCAGAAGTGGGGACCGCCCTGCACGTACAAAAAACTGAACCTTCTCTAATACTTCTTCCTCCCTCTAGTATCTACAATATCACACTCGGTTATTTACTCATTAATTATTTATTAATTTATTTATTTTAGTTTAGTTTTTTTATTACTTGTTCTTTTTTCTTCCCTATTTTTGTTTTGTTTGTCCTGTGAGGGTTAACCCCTTAAGGACCAAACTTCTGGAATAAAAGGGAATCATGTCATGTGTCCTTAAGGGGTTAAACATCAACACAAAGAAATATATGAGCCGTTATTAGATCAAAAGCTTATACCTATATGATGTCTAACTTGCTTAGTTCACTTTTTATAAATACTTTAAATGATGACCACATGTGTTACGAACATATGATTTGTAATGATTGTTTTAATCTGTATAAAATCAAATAAAGATGGTTTTAAAAAATATTGTTATATCTCAATATTTTTATATATACTATTGTGCATATATATCTATATATGATTATCTAATATTTCTTAATTGGTGCAGTCTGTTTTTTTTAATGAACAATCCCATTACTTCCTAAATTTTTTATGAATACAGCGAGCACACTATTGTGTTTCCTTTCTGTTAAGAAAGTGATGAGAGTCCTGTGACCAACTGATACCCATATGTGGGGATTATACCACAATTTGTCTGACACATTGAGCTTGTGTTTCAACTTCTTTCTTTGTGAGCGTGTTTCTTATTTACTACACTTCTCACATAGGTTTACAATATCACACTATTGTTACTTTTTTTTTACCCTTTTTTTGAGAATCATTTCATTGTTTGTATTGGTCACCATTGGCGTTTATCCATTAGAAGCACTGATCCACAAGTGGAACCATACCATTGCATGTTATTCAAATTAGAGATTATTTGAAGCTCTGGACAATGTGTCTGGACATTCACATAGTGTATGTGGTGTGTGTGTTCCACCCTATATATAATTCTGCACAATTGGTTTCCTACTTCTGTTTGTGTTTATGTACCTGTGAATTTAATTACAAACTCCATCTGGAGAAAGAATATTTGATACAGAAAATTGTGGTCTATATACAGTTGGACTTTTTTTTCATAATTTTGTACTTACTAATTGTTTGTTAATAGGCACAACCTGTTTTTCTTTCTTGGTTTGATCTGTTTGCACACACAGACCTCAAGAATTAGCACCTTTTCAAAACATGGAAGTGGTTGTAGTGATTGAATTAACCCTTTAAGAAACAGAGCATTCTTGCCATCTGTTGGTCAGTAACCATCCGAACATGTCTAGGAATTTTAGAGGGCCAGTGTACTAGAGATCTGTTATTCCCTCCTATAAGCTGTCTTGTACTTCTTTTCAATATAATTAGGAATCTCAGGGTTCTATATACAAGGCTCAGAATTGTAAACGTAGATATGCAAAAAAGGACAGACTAGCCATTTGAGAAAAATATTGTATGGGGTTACACAAAGTACCATCACAAATTTGTATTATTGTAAATATGGTAATGCATATAACACAACTCTGTGGAAGTCCTAGAACTGCAACAATTTGTAAGTATCACAGCAACTTTAAATTTGCTACTCAGAACTGTCAACAAGATACATTAAGACACAAGAACACGTTTTTTTTTTAGTTATTATTGTGAATCTTATTATTAAAAATTGTATCAACTTCAGACAAAACATTTTGTAAATAACAGTTCCTATATTCGGTGATTATTGAGGATTTGTGGAGTCACATTCTCCTGTCCCTAGTGTATGGTTTGAGGGTACTGTTAGTTTAAACTAACTCCCTAACAGAATACATTTTGAACATCCTTCCCAATACACCGCATCCCATCATTTTGGGGACCAGGGTTGTTACACGCCCTTGTCCTCTGGCGTTTTCCATACTGACAACTTGACCAGGGAGACCAGCAGCTCCAGCTGCCATCAACTTTGGTACCTGAAAAAATAAGATTAAATATTAGCGTTTATATATATATATATATATATATATATATATATATATATATATATATATATCAATATACTAATATTCTTATCTGATACATCTCTGAAGAACAAGCAATTATAGAATAAGTTCAGACACATGGTGAGTCTCCTTTTTTTATTGTTGATTTCATTTTCAGATGGATTAAAAACTACAAAATTACAAATATAACATTCTTTCTTTAGTGTACACTAATTTCTAAGCAGGCTGCATGGACATCACACTGAAAGAGCCCAGGAAGAATCCTATTATTGATTTTACTATAATATATCCTACAGCCTGTAGCAATGAGTATAACTGCAGGTTTCAAATAACTAACTGAGAATTCTTGTTTCAATAGTAAATGAAGTCTTACTACATACTAAACGTTTTACCTGTGCGTAATGTCTCTTCACACGATGGACCTCTATATCCTCCAGGACACAGACAGGTGCACTCATTGTTATTGAGCACTGGTTCACCATTATTTTGACACGGGCCACATCGACAAGCATTAAACTCACTCAGAAACACATCATATGCCATCTTCAGGTTTTTTAACTTTGTCTCAATTCCAGAGATACCTGTTAGGCGTAGACCTTCGTATATAGGCTGTATCTAAAATATAATGAAACAAACAATGTGATTGCCTTTAGGATCATCTACATGGCAGTCTAATGTCATGTAGATGTGATTGTTGGAAATGGAAGTGATTGTTAGCTATCTGCTTCTCTTGTGCAATATGGTGTGTAAAGGACAGACACGTGATAATTCATCAGCAAAGACAATCCAGGTACCAATACAACTTTGATGCATTTTATGACATTTAACCAAAAATACTTGGCTATCTATATTTTTATATGATGCATTTGGCATAATTTTTTGCAAATAAATAAATGTGTTACAGATTTCTGCGTCCTAACCTTGTTGTATGTCCCACCTCGTTTTATAAAGTTCTGACTTTTCTCTGGTTACAATGCAGCTCCTTAAAAGCTTTTTTTCTTAGTCCATTGCTCCTAACCTGCAATGTTTATCCTTCAACACATTTGTACATGTCATTAGGAAGCAAAGCAAGATTTCTGCAGTTAAACTAATATCTTTTAGGAGTAGAAAGTTGACAAAGTACAATTCTTATAAATTCTGCTCTGAGCATAATTTAAGCTGTGCACAGAACGTTTTGATATATTCTTATCATTTTCTCCCCTTATACACAGGGAGGTATACAAGCAGTTTAGAATTGATAGATGTATAGGTGATAGAGACACGGACGCAGGTTATAGCTTCCATGTCTGCTAGCAACTAAAACATTTATAATCTCTGCAAATTGATTTAAACTACAGATTCATATGAAAATAGGAAACTTTACAGGTCCTAACCGATGGCGGTGAACTTTAGCAGCTGGTAACATCCTTCAGGTTTGATCACACAAACTTAAAAATATGTGTCCAAAACCAGGAAGGACCATAGCTATAAAGTCAATACACCATCATCACTACAATAAGCAGCAGTGGTGCTTACAATTTCCCCAAACTCCTCATCATTCTCACTCCTTTTCAAGCTATCCTCATTCTATGAAAGCTAAATTGTTGAAAACTTATTTTTTTTTTTAAATATCTAACCCAGTATATAATAAGCAGAGGTACTTCAATATTTAAGAGTCTCTGCCACTTCTGAAGCAGCTTGGTTCCAGAGATCATCTTATCATCGGTTCCTAGAAAAGTATTTAACTTCGAAGAACAGAAAGTTGAGAGATTGTAAAAAAAGAACAATTTTCTTTAAAATCTTGTATATTGGATCAAATGTATTGCCATTGTACAGTTGCCCATCATAGTTTACAGTAGAATTGAAATTTAAGTAGTTACCTACACAGTCACCCTCTTATATAGCTATATAACAGACTAGCTTCTTCAAAAAGGGCAGATTAGCTTCTTCAAAAATGTGATGGCAGATAAGAACCATTCGGCCCATCTAAAGTTGAGCTATTAGTTGAGCTAATTTTTTAAACAATTATTTGATTTTATCTGCAACATAAAGGTAACAGCTATTTGTGGGGTTTTCTTAGCATTACAAAATATTTAGTTTAGTATATTCTTTATGTTAATATATCTGTCAATTTAAATATTTTTTTAAAAAATCCAGTTGAAAATGAGCAACTAGCTTTTGCATTACATTTTTTTGAATTTTGACTTGATTAACTATCATTCATATTTTGAACAGCTGAACTCAATAAAACGGGTCGGCTGATCGAAATGGAATTCACATATATCAGTCATAAAAGCCTTTTGCATTTTGTTTTTGGCTTATTGGTAGTCATGCTCCACTCAGATTGAGCCACACTGCACATAATATTCAAGTTGAAAATGTTAAGGAATCATCAGCTAAAACCATTTATGTATATTTCAATGGCAAGCCAGACTGAGCCAATAGTTCACTAATTTATGCTCAGTTTCTGCAAGTTAATGGACAGTCTAATCAATATATCTGTAGTGTCCAGGCACCATTCCTTGATATAATGTAAAACCATTTAAAAATAGCATAACATAAACCGGGTCTCTTTCCAGTGATCGGACAAGATCCCTCCTCAATCACATTGATTATACAGTATACAACACTCCAGTCTAAACCAGTAATCTCTGATTACCAATGTTTCAAGATACTTTGAAATTAAACCAGGGGATGTGTCCACACAGTATTTAAGTCAGCTATAGAGGTTATGTTACTTATATGGCACTTTCAAGCTGAGACATACGGCCTTCCGTAATACAGCTGTGCAATATTGTGTACTTAGTATGTGCATGGTGCATGTGTGGTGTCCAGTGTGCACAATATATTTAAAGTATATCACATGTGAGCAACTGACTTATGCCTGGATGCCTCAGTGTTGCCTATCCTCTTTACTAACTTAATTTTTGGCTTGTCCTCTCACCTGTAGAACTGAGTCAAACTCCTTCCTCATGAATGGATTAGGATATTTACCCCACTCCCTCTAGCATGAAAGCTCATTGAGCAGGGCCCTCAAACCCTCTGTTCCTGTGTGTCCAATTTATCTGGTTACAACTACATGTTTGTTCATCCACCCACTGTAAAGCGCTGCGGAATTTGTTGGCGCCATATAAATAATAACATAATAATAATAATATTTAGCAATTTCCTTAGCTCTTTAAAAAATAAACATTTGATCATACCTCAGATTCAATTAGTGATGGATTATACTTCAAAGACCTTCCCCAGGAACGATATGTGTTCACATCAAAAAAATGCATTAATCCACCCGTTGATGCAGTATCTCCACCTTTTATATGTGTGATAACATCCTTTATAAAGCTGTTACTTCCGGTTTCATCTAAAAAATGATGTTCAACAAGACTTGATTATCGACAAAACACATATTTTCATCAGAACTTGGATCCTGCATGGTTTATTGCATGCTTTTTGCATTTTGGCATTGAAACCTTCATGTAAATGAACATAAAGTCCTTCCCATGTCTGTCAATCAGTCTTCAGGATAGATACCAGTATAGCTTCTATGCCGAGGATTGATTTGACATGCAGACCAGCATGTCGAGGTCATTGGGAAGCTGTATCCTGCTTAATGATGTGTCCCCAAACATTGCCAGTTGCATTAGCAGATGGCAGGTCAAAGCAGAGTCGGTACGTGAGTGTCTTTGTAACACTCACTTAAGTGATGTGATGGGGTGAATGGCACTCGGAGAAGGAAGCTAGTATAGATTTCATATCTCATTAATCAGCTACACATATCACTAATCATTATGACCAATACTATATTTGTTGCTTAATGCAATATCATGGGTTTAGGTGAACCAGGTTCACTATAACAGCGTAAAGGCAAATTTGGGACTTTGCATGCCTCTTTATCCTGTAGCTGGATGTTTCCATCTAAGTTCCCTAATAATCATTGTTATTAAACTCTGAACTTTTTACCTGGAAATCTGCAAAGAGAAAGCATACTGAGAAGAGGAGAAATAATCTGTAATGTAAATTGAGCAACTCATGAAAAAAGAATTCCATGGAACTGATGGTTTTTATTTAATTTAAATTTGGGAGCAGCTTGATTTTTAGATATTGGATATTAAAAAAAAACACCATATTTGAACAATCGGATCACTAAGTATACACTGATAAGCCACAACATTAAAACTGCCTGCCTTATGGCGTGTAGGTCCACCTCGTGCTGCCAAAACAGCTCTGATGCTTCGAGGCATGGACTACACAAGACCTCGGAATGGGTCCTGTGGTATATGGCACCAAGACATTACCAGTAGATTCTGCAAGTTGCGATGTGGGGCTCCCATGGATCGGATTTGTTGTTCCAGCATGTCACAGATGATCAATCAGATCGAGATCAGGGGAAATTGCGGGCCAAGGCAACCCCTTGAACCATTTGTCATGTTCCTCAAACCATACTTTAACAATTTTTGCAGTGTGGCAGGGTGCATCATCCTGCGGAAAGAGGCCACTGCCATTAGGGAACACCACAGCCATGAACAGGTGTATGTGGTCTACAACAATCTCTACAGTTATTTAAATGTGCACAGGGACTTGGTATATTGTGCTTGCAATTTTTTATTTTTTTGTTTTATTATTATTTTTTTAACAATATCTAGGCAGGAGGTACATGTCAAAGTAACATCCACATGAATACCAGGACTCTTTCACAGCAGAACATTGCCCGAAGCACAACACCGCCTCCGCTGGCCAGCTTTTTTCACACACTTCCATCTCTTCCCCAAGTAAACCCAAGCACCCAGCGATCCACCTGATCTAAAAGAACACCTGATTCATCAGACCAGTCAACCTTTTTTCATTTTTCCATGGTTCAGTTCTGATGCTCACAACCCCATTGAAGGGACCTTCAGTGATGGACTAAGGTCATCATGGACACTCTGACCAGTCTGCGGCCCCATACACAGTAAACTGCCATGTAATGTGTGTTCTGACAGCTTTTCATTATGGTCATCAATAAAACCTTGGGCACCCATGAGCCTGACGCCAGTTCACCGGTTGTCCTTCTTTGCGCCAGCTTTGGTTCTAACTTCTGCATATTGGGAACACCCACAAGACTTGCCGTTTTGGAGATGCTCTGATCCAGTCATTTAGCCATCACTATTTGGCCCTTGTCAAGTCACTCAGATCTTTTTGCTTGCCCATTTTTCTGCTTCCAACACATGACATTCAAGAACTGACTGGTTACTTGCTGCCTAATATATCCCAACTCTTTACAGGTGCCATTGTAATGATATAATCAATGTCATCAATAATCACTTCACCTGTCGGTGGCTTTAATATTGTGGCTGATCAGAGTATACTCATTTTTTCACTTCTCATCAATCCCTTCTTCCTAACAATAGGTTTACAAGCATAGTTATTCACTAAAGTGAGAACAGAATTTATAAATTTACAGCCAACGTAGCCGAATTGGAAGTATAACTGACTTAGAATATTTCCAGTTTAGCTATTGTCACCTTAAATTTAAGTTCTCAATTTAGTGACTAAATCCTGATAATCTAGATTTCATTTTGTATAACATAGTAATGCAAAACTAAATGTATCCTATAAAGCCCTTACTTCAGATCTTGTTTTCACCCCGCAGAGAAATACATTTCTCTGGCAAGGTTTCATTTTGTCCCTTTCCTTCAAGACTGCATTTTAGTAGCAAGGGAGGATGGAGAAAGGTGTGAGTATTCAGAGCATATATAGTATAATACAGAGGTTCTTTACAATTCTGTATAGACATTCTAGTGCGATTTGCAGGAAACTGCATTCCTATATATGGCCTTTTGGTCCTTCCAAATATCAATAACCAGCGAATTTGAAATTTTTTATATGTAATAACTACTGTGATATAAATGTAATTTCCTGTAAAACTTTCATGCCCACAAGATTTCTCTAAATGATAAACAAATCAATAAAGCAAATGTAACTACGCAAATGTCAACATTGTGTGTTTCCCTGAACAGCAATCTATTCACAAAAATTGCTGCTTTTACATATACGTGCTAGTTACATATCCAATATTTTAAATAATATATTTTATAACTTAAAAAAACTTGACAACTATTTATAATGATCTTTGACTAACTCCTGTATAGACTCTGCAAAGGGGACCGCATTGAAATAAAGACAACAGCTAAAAGGTTGTTTGGGTTTTCAGTAAAATTACTGTTTCATGTGAGTATAAGACAAACCAAAATAGAGATTTCACTCATTTAAGGCAACATTAAGTCCTAATTTTATATTATGGAGTTTTCAACTCGAACATTATAAAGGACAGAACTGGATTAACATAGGGGCTGATAGAGCTGCAGCTCCAGGCCCATGTCCATGGAATAGGCTGGGAAGTATATAACTTAACTTTTTCTGTTGCTTATTTAGAGTTGTGGTTTTTCTTATCTTTTAGTTTCAAAAGCATGGAGAAATGTTACCTTCATTATACTCATTCAGTAATTTACAATGCTCTCCTTTTATTTTCAATGCACCCTCCAATTGTTTATCTTCTGATTGTAGAGTTAGGCCAAGATGACCACCAATACAACGTGTGATTGTTGAATATTCAATTTCTGTAAAAAAGAAAAAAAAAGAAATAATTTGTGGTGTCAAGGTTAGCCATCACTGTCCTAGGAGGCCAGTTAGAAGCGTGAACTTATTAACATGCTTCTTCTTTATCCATTATGAACATGCTTCGTTTTTTAATCAAATTATAAACATGTTTCAACTTTATCAATCATTTTCTTACTCTGCACTGAATCTTGCTAGGGTCATTTTTAAACAGTCCAGTTGTAATGGTGCCTGGAGTATGGGATTGTAAGATTTTTGTCTAGGGATATCTGGCCAATTTGACCTCGTAAATAACAATGCATGTTGTCTAATTTGCTATATCATCTCATGGACAGCGCTGTTGGAAGTGCCATTTTTAAAATATACAACTTTTTATGCAGAATTAAAGGCACTAATTCAGAAATCATACCCAAAGGATAAGTTGGCTGAAAGTTATCCCCAACAAACTGAAATGATAACATTTACAACAAGGTTAACAAGTAAGGGATTCTTGGGTGAACAGTGTCAAAAAGTGGAGTCCAGCATAGTTTCAGAGTACATCTATTGAACTGATCCCTGGACGCTATGACACCACACAGACCTTTGTATGCCCTTACTGAAAAAACTAACAATTAAATTTCCATAACTGGAAATAGCACTACAATAGGCGATTAATTAACTAAACTTTAAAGGGACACTATAGTCACCAGAACGACTACAGCTTAAAGGACCACTATAGGCACCCAGACCACTTCCGCTTAATGAAGTGGTCTGGGTGCCAGGTCCAGCTAGGATTAACCCTTTTTTTTTTTATAAACATAGCAGTTTCAGAGAAACTGCTATGTTTATATATGGGTTAATACAGCCTCTAGTGGCTGTCTAATTGACAGCCACTAGAGGCGCTTCCACGCTTCTCACTGTGATTTTCACAGTGAGAAGACGCCAGCGTCCATAGGAAAGCATTGTGAATGCTTTCCTATGGACTGGCTGAATGCGCGTGCAGCTCGTGCCGCCCATGCGCATTCAGCCGAGGAGGAAGAGAGTCACCCGCCGGGCGCTGGAGGAAGAGGTAAGTTTAACCCCTTCCACCCTCTAGAGTCCGGCGGGAGGGGGACCCTGAGGGTGGGGCACCCTCAGGGCACTACAGTGCCACGAAAACAAGTATGTTTTCCTGGCACTATAATGGTCCTTTAATGTAGTTGTTCTGGGGAGTATAATCATTACCTTTCATGTAAACACTGTCTTTTCAGAGAAAAGACAGTGTTTACATTTCCCCCTATGGACACCTCCATTGGCCACTCCTCAGATAGCCAATGGATGGGCTTCCTCGGGCTGTGGAGGAGCTGAATTTTCCTCATAGAGATGCATTTATTCAATGCATCTCTATGAGGAGGTGCAGATTAGCCAAGCTAAAGTTTGGCCCTGCCCCTGTCCCACCACCTTGCCGATTTCAGACAATCTAATGCTTTCCCATGGGCTAAAAATCATAAATTCTGATTATGTCAGCAAGTAGATGGATCGAGGGCAGGACCAGCACTGGCAGTCACACGCGGGGCTAGTAATAAGTTACGTTTTATTATTATTTAACGGGGCTGGGAGGGCAAGCCAGCTAAATGATGGTTTTAACACTGTAGGGTCAGGAATACATGTTTGTTTCCCTGACCCTATAGTGTTCCTTTAACTTGCAATTTCATGAATGCTTGAAAATGAGAACTAGAATTTGGAAATGTGTCTATATTGAATTATATTGTCAGATTAATAAGTACTGTATAAATATGTCTAGGTGTAATAATAATAATAATAATAATAATAGTGTTCAGGATGATACGTTTGTCAAGGTAAATGACAGAAAACTTGTGAAATCGTTGGAAAATATATTAACCTTTCTTTTTCATGATTTCATGGTCAAGCACCAGAATATTTTCAAGAGTGCCGCCCATGATTCCAGATGTTACGAAATGAGTTCCGTAGTCTTGAATAAACTTTGAGTAAAGGCCATAGTTGTACTGATCTGGGAGCTCCATCAGGGACTGGTGCATGTCTTCATCTATAACAATGGAATTCCGTCTCATCTTAAATTGGGCTGTTTGAATTTTGGTAAGTAGCCGCATAAACCTTAAATTCTTCAGATAAAAATGAAATAATCAAGGTTAGCATTTAAACCAGGAGACAAAGTTACAGTGGTTTAATTAACAGATCATACACATCTACAAATACTTTCATTATGATCCAAACCTGAAAAATGGTCAGAATTGGCTAATCATGGACATGGTTCTCATGGTTCTAACTCACATCTGAGAAAACTATTAATTGAATAATGTTTAAATAATAGATTGCAGGGCCATTAGTCATTCCCCATTGCACATTTACATACAGAAATTATAAATGTAATCTCAAAGATATTTGGTTACAGTGTTATAGTTTTTAGAATGGTTTGGCAGGTAGGTGCCATCGACTGCCCACACCCACACAGTCTGCTTCCATAATTTCCTTGCAGGAGAATCTGGTTAGCTCCACTGATCTAAGCATGGGTTTGCTCAGTAAAGATATCCAGTTTTCCTTCAGGATCAGATGCAGCTCAGGTACCCTTGGGACCCAGATAAGTTGTCACACCATTCTAAAATGGTTTAACAGATTACTCTGGGAGGAGGTCAGTCGACTCCTGGCACCATAACCACAAGCCAATGGGTTTTAGTGGTTATTCTGCTCGGATTTTTCCTTTAACTAATCATTCTAAATTAAAGAAAAGACAATCAGACCAGTGAATATCTAAAACCACTTGGGTACACATAATCAGAATGTTTATATAGTATACCTTGGCATTATAGGTTGTTATATTTTTCAGACGCTCATATGACATCCTGCCTGTCAGACCAGCTTCCAATCCAACAGGTGATTCTACAGGCTTAATGGTGAAAGAAAACCCTAAAGAAAAAGAACCACCTCGCTTAATAGCATCAAGCAATTCTCTTGAATCTTCGAAAACCTCAAACGCTAGTCCAGTATCTGCTCGGGCCTAGGAAGAAAAATGCAATGATAAGAACGCAATGGAATATTAAATGCTTAGTATTCCACAGTAGAAGGTTACAAGGCAATTCTAAAAATACCAAAAAACTATTAATAAACTTGTATACTTATTAAACCAAGAAACGCGTGACATAGACCATGTGTTATAGAACACCGCTCACAGTTTATTACATCATTGTTCAGGTAATGAAAAGTGTGGTGATCCAACACTGCAACTTTACAGCAGATATCACAGTACACGAAACAAGTACGTATGTGTTCACACCATACAAGAACTCTAGATTTCTGCATTATGATGTGTCGAATTCGGGTGACAGTAGAATGCTGTTTTTGTTAAATGAAATAATGTGTTGTGGTTGTGGTGCTATAAGTAACCCTTTAAAATGTATTGACAGATTTAAAATGGATTATAATCTTGTGATTTTATAACTGTAAGAGCACAAAGTTGTAGTAAAAAAAATATAATAAAGGATTAGTTTTTTTTTTTTTTTTATTTTTTTTTTTTAATCCATTCATCATGCAAAGATCTGAGGATTTATCAGAAGGGCTAAGAACATACACCAGTATTTTTTTTTCTTATTTCCCAGCTCTGCCATTTCACTATATAAAGTACAATTATGTAACATCTATTAAAATACCATTATTTATCTATACACATAATTGCCTTTGCTGTTGGGTTGGTAAGTGTAATTTTTGTATTCATATGTTGGATTTCCAAGGCAACAGTGAAGACATGGGGAGGAGGGTACTCTCTGATTATTAGTTGCAATTGTTGCTAAATAGGAAATAATGATTTTTTTCCATGGATATATGGATATAGGTTTAGATCTGGTAATAGCCTCAAACATTAAGTACTGTGATGAACAATCCAAGCAAAACAGCCAGACTTTGAAAGGCAGCAAATGAAGCTCATTTAAAAGAACAAATACATCTCTATACGTTAAGCAATCATTCTATGTAATATCATTGAAATTGATTTTATTAATAAAAAGGTTATTGACTTCTCAAATCCAACTCTGAGTTTTGGCCCACTATTTATATATATTATTATTTTTTTTATTTTATTTTTTTAATGAAAGTTCAGTCTAGTTACAAATGAATAAATGCTTATATTTCTACCTTACTTTTTGTTGCTTTTTACATTTTCATTTTATTTTTGTAAATACCTCTTACATACTGAATGCTTTTTGCAGTTAGCATATTTTACTTGTTTAAAAAAAAAAAAAAAAATACATTTTCTATGAACATTTGTTTTTACACCAGTGTTGGATGTGACTGATGACTGAATCAAGCCTTTGATATGTTTTCAGATGACAGAAATCTAATGTGAAGCCAGGACATTTCTATGTTATCAGAAGACTATTGACTAGTGTGCAGCCACAGTATTATGTTAGCAGATGACTACTGGCTAGCGTGGAACCAAAAAAAATCTATGCTATTGGAGGTCTAATGACTAGTGTGGACCCAGAACAGTGCTATGCTATTGGATGACATAATGACTAGTGTGGAGTCAAGTCAGTGTTATGTTATTCCATGACTGACTTCAGTGGAACCAGGACAGTGCAATGCTATCAGACGACTCCTGACTAGTGTGGAACCAGGACAGTGCAATGCTATCAGACGACTCCTGACTAGTGTGGAACCAGGACAGTGCAATGCTATCAGACGACTCCTGACTAGTGTGGAACCAGGACAGTGCAATGCTATCAGACGACTCCTGACTAGTGTTGAATCAGGACAGTGCAATGCTATCAGATGACTCCTTACTTCCGTGGAATCAGGACAGTGCAATGCTATCAGACGACTCCATGCTTCCATGGAATCAGGACAGTACAATGCTATCAGACGATTCCTGACTAGCATGGAACCAGGACAGTGCAATGCTATCAGATGACTTCTGACTAGCGTGGAACCAGGACAGTGCAATGCTGTCAGACGACTCCTTAGTTCCATGGAACCAGGACAGTGCACTGCTATCAGATGACTCCTTACTTCCGTGGAACCAGGACAGTGCAATGCTATCAGATGACTCCTGACTAGTATGGAACCAGGACAGTGCAATGCTATCAGACGACTCCTTACTTCCGTGGAACCAGGACAGTGCAATGCTATCAGACGACTCCTGACTAGTGCTGAACCAGGTCAGTGCAATGCTATCAGATGACTCCTGACTAGCATGGAACCAGGACTGTGCAATGCTATCAGATGGCTCCTTAGTTCCGTGGAACAAGGACAGTGCAATGCTATCAGATGACTCCTTACTTCCGTGGAACCAGGACAGTGCAATGCTATCAGATGACTCCTTACTTCCGTGGAACCAGGACAGTGCAATGCTATCAGACGACTCCATGCTTCCATGGAATCAGGACAGTACAATGCTATCAGACGATTCCTGACTAGCATGGAACCAGGACAGTGCAATGCTATCAGATGACTTCTGACTAGCGTGGAACCAGGACAGTGCAATGCTGTCAGACGACTCCTTAGTTCCATGGAACCAGGACAGTGCACTGCTATCAGATGACTCCTTACTTCCGTGGAACCAGGACAGTGCAATGCTATCAGATGACTCCTGACTAGCATGGAACCAGGACAGTGCAATGCTATCAGACGACTCCTTACTTCCGTGGAACCAGGACAGTGCAATGCTATCAGACGACTCCTGACTAGTGCTGAACCAGGTCAGTGCAATGCTATCAGATGACTCCTGACTAGCATGGAACCAGGACTGTGCAATGCTATCAGATGACTCCTTAGTTCCGTGGAACAAGGACAGTGCAATGCTATCAGATGACTCCTTACTTCCGTGGAACCAGGACAGTGCAATGCTATCAGATGACTCCTGACTAGTGTGGAACCAGGACGGTGCAATGCTATCAGATGACTCCTTAGTCCCGTGAAACCAGGACAGTGCAATGCTATCAGATGACTCCTGACTAGTGTGGAACCAGGACAGTGTAATGCTATCAGATGACTCCTGACTAGCATGGAACCAGGACAGTGCAATGCTATCAGATGACTCCTGACTAGTGTGGAACCAGGACAGTGTAATGCTATCAGATGACTCCTGACTGGCATGGAACCAGGACAGTGCAATGCTATCAGACAACTCCTGACTAGCGTGGAACCAGGATAGTGCCATGCTATCAGACGACTCCTTACTTCCGTGGAACTAGACCAGTGCAATGCTATCAGACAACTCCTGACTAGCGTGGAACCTGGACAGTGCAATGGTATCAGATGACTCCTTACTTCCGTGGAACTAGATCAGTGCAATGCTATCAGATGACTCCTGACTAGTGTGGAATCAGGACAGTGCAATGCTATCAGATGACTCCTTACTTCCGTGGTACCAGGACAGTGCAATGCTATTAGACGAGTCCTGACTTCCGTGGAAGTAGATCAGTGCTATGTTATTCCATGACAGACTAGTGTGGAACCAGGACATTGCTACCTGAGGATTAATAACTAGTGCAGATTCAGGACAGAGCTATGTTATCAGATGTCTTGGAACTAGTTTGGGACCAGGACAGTGCTATCTGATAACCTACTAGCTTGAAAGGAGAACAGTGCTATGTTATTCAATGACAAACTCTGCCATCACCTCCAAATTCGCTCTGCTACCTAATTGCCTCAACTCCACATTGTAAGTTTATGGACTATCTAGCAAAGTTCTCTGTATAAAGGAGCTTCAGTGGCTAGATCATAGGCAGGGTCCATTGCTATTTCAAAGCCTCACAACATTAAAAAAAAAAAAAAAACACATTAATCAATAGATCCTACTCAATCAAACACTAAGACACACAATGCAAATATAAATATACTTACAAGGAATTTATATACGTGAAAGTTGTATGGTTTTCTAAAGTATTTTTCATCATCGGCATAGTTCATCTGTTCACATGTAGGGTCATATTTTAATTCCCTCCATTCTCCATTGTAGATATACTCACATTGACCCCCATAATATCTGTTATCATACACATTCTGTGCATACTCATTGGTGAGTATATTGAACCTGCAGACAAAGGAACAATTTAGCATTAGTTAGACAAAGGTTAATAATTACGATCTTTCTATTTAAATATTTATTATTTAGAGAGTGACTAGCAATACAGACAAATATAACCATCTATTGGCCATTTATTTTCACATGAAAAATATTATCAGGTCGCATAAATACAGTTTAACCAGAAGAGAACCTTGCACATCAATATGCCAAAGTGGCAATTTATAGGTCAAAGTGCTAAAAAAAAAAAAAAAAATGCATAAATACTTTTACGTAAATATTGAAATTTATAAGTGGACACTGGGTATGATAATTGTGGATTAAGTGGAAAAGATTATTCACCCCCCTCAGAATCCTAAATTGTTTTATTGTACCCAAGAAGTTCCATATAGAACTGTTGAGCTGCCCACTCAAGGGCTGCAAGAACAGGAGATGAATGTGGAACTTCTGGGTAAAGATTTTTTTGATCTGCTCCCTCCAATTTTATGATTTCTAATAAGGAAACATAGTCCCCACTTGGGATATGGCACATATAATCACATAAGCAGCAATAGTGACCTGAACCCCACAGAGGCGCAGATTACTCCCAAGGCACTGCAAAATACGCTTGTTTAAGCAGGATTCTCATCAATCTATTGTTCCTGTAACAATTCATAATTGTCTCATTTATTGTTAAAGGGATACTATAGTCCCCAGAAGAACTACAGTTTATGATATTTGTTCTGGTGAGTAGAATCATTCCCTTCAGGAGAAAATTCACTTCTGAGAAAATGCAGTGTTTACATTACAGCGTAGTGATAACTTTACTGGCCACTCCTCAGATGGCTGCTAGAGGTGCTTCCTGGGGCAGTGCTGCACAATGTGCCATTCAGCGTCTCCACCCTCTGTGTGGAGACACTGAACTTTCCTCATAGAGATGCTGATTGGTCAGGGCTGTGTTTGGCTTGTGCTGGCTTTGCCACTGATCTGCTTCCTCGACTAGATCAGCCAATCCTATGGGAAAGCATTATGATTGGCTCAGAGAATCACTTCTGATAATGTCAGCTAACCAGGCAGATCAGGGAGAGGGGCAGCAGCTGCAGACTTAAATACAAGTAAGATTTTACTATATTAAAGGGGGTAAGTGGGGGAGAGGTTATGTGGTAGTTTTAACACTATAGAGTCGGGAATACATGATTGTGTTCCTGACCCTATAGTGTTCCTTTAAATGTTCCCCTTTATAATATTGTAAAGTGCTGTGGAATAAATTGTCACTATATAAACACCAGTAATAATAATAATAATGATGGGGGGCCGGGCCGAACCGCCATGCTGGCAGGTCGCACAACTGATCGGCTCCTTCAAATAATCTCAATTTTCTCCGAAAAATCAGAATCAAATACTGAAAACGACGGCCCTGCACAAGAAGACACCCTGGTTCCAAGGAGAGGCTTGCTGCACAGCTCTAGTCCCTCGGTGGGATGCTCTCCGTCTCCCGCGATGGGGAGTGCTCGGGCGGTGAGTGGAGTGGATGGCCGCCACACCGCTATCCTGCCCACCAGCGGTCTGAACGAAGCATGAGGCTAAGGGGGTCCGATCCTGTTCCCCCCCCCTCTGGGTCGGCGGGGGTGATCCTGGCCCCCACCCTGGGCCCACCGGCGTGCGGATACACCAGCGTGCCAGGCGGCAACAGTGCAGACCCAACACTCGGAGGCCGCACCAAAATGGCAGAGACCACATGGCGAGTAGCCCAAGCCAAAGGGACTTTTGTCTGGCGGATGGGGGTTAACCTAGGGTGGAAAAACCCAAGCATGACTAAAGCAACTCACTTTCAAGCGATGGACTCCTGTATTCTACCTATTTTATCTGTTCCTGGGTTTTGGTCTACTAAGCAACTTTTATAAAGCGACCTAAATGGACAAGACCTTAATGTAACCTCACAGTTTAACTACAACAACGTTAGCCCGAATCTTGTATTGCATATATTAGACAGGCACTTGGCCACTTCGCTTGATATTGATGTCATAACGAGACCCCTGTCTGTCTGACAATATACCAGCTAATTTAACTTGTGCTTACTGCATATGTATATCATGAAGATATTATTTTAATATGGCTCCTGAAAACGATTGACACATATTTAGCAGTCGCAGCAACATTTACCTAATGGACCTGTTTTACTCAAGTTTCATTACTACTCATGTTTTACTATAACTTATATTCACTTTAAATATAAAAACGTGCAAATGTCTCTAAATACCCCATTGTCACAAATGTTACTGATATAAGCGAGTGGAATGCCTTTGGGGTACCACAAGCATGTATGTTAAGCCTATATGCACAAAAAATAAAGAAGAAAAAATAATAATAATAATAATAATGATGTAATCATAAATAAAAATTTTTTTAGCGCTAATCATAAAATAAAATTCACAGAAAGATGGCTAGGCAATAAGGGCGAGACAGAATAAGTCAGATTAGGGTGAATATAAAAGATTTATGCAAACAAGACCTGGGAGAGAATAGTATAGGGAAAGCAGGTTATCAACATTGAAAAGATCATGAAAATATTCATGGGAAATGGGAGGCTTGGGGGAAGAAAATGGGGAAGATTAAACTGGTTAGGAGACAGGAAAATTGCGTGGTACAAATAAATAGGAAATAAAATAGGATGAGATGAACAGACATCTGATTATATAGCAAGCGCAATAAATAAAAATGACTACAAGTAGGAAAAATACAGGAAAGAGATTTTTTTTCAGAAAATAAAACAGAGATAAGAAGCTGTGGAGGAGATATGACAAATGAGGGAGCGTCAAAATTATAAAAACAAATTGTATTAGAATTAGGAATAGTATTATAACAACACCTTGCATAAGTGCATATAATAATATGATAATCAAAAGTCATGTGACTTGCTTCAATTCCTTGTTCATCATCCTGAATTTATGAGACTGCAACGTGACTATTTTATGTACATGTATGTGTATTTAAATAGCATAACAGGCACAGCATCCTAACTTCTATGAATAAAGTCAATTATTTAGTATGTAGAATTGTTGGCCATTTCACAATCCGTTGTATAGATGTTTAAAGGTTCAGGTTTATTTAATTGTATTTTTCATGTTTAAATTTGGAACACGAATTGGGAGACGTGATTTAATCTTTAAATGATAACCATACCCTCTCACAGCTTTCTCTGATCCAGGAATCGAGAAAAGTTGTCTGCAGAATGTCTCGTCTTCTGGAACATCACAATCCCTCTCATCCGAGCCATCTGTACAGTCTAGCTCTCCATTGCAAACCAGTTGTCTCTTAATACATCGACCTAGAGAAGAAGTAAGACATATAGATACCACCAGCAATAGGGAAATGGTCTCTGCTATGATGGCCGGGGATATGGGCTTGAAAGGCTTGGTTCAAATAGTTTTAGTCTAGTAGGGGGAGTAAGAGATCCCTATTCCCAGGCTGCTCTTATTGATTCTGATCTATTACAGAATTTCAGGACATGAGGTCAGAACACAGCATGTTGACTCGATTTTCCATCTAAACATGTTCATCTTTTCCAGGATCCAATAACTATTAAGACTATACAATAACTATTAAGGCTGTACAACCTATATGTCTTTTCCCTACTGACTGTAGATGGAAGTCAGAAGGATATAAAGAATGATAACATCATTCACAACGTCATCACCATAGAGGTTTCCGTAGATTAAATTTACATAAATACCTGATTACATTTGTAAAGTTATTTCCATTGAATAGTTGGCATAGATCCCCCATTGTGATATAAAATTTTTATGAATTATCCAACCGTTGAAACGGTGAAGAAAGATAATCTGTGCTACATACACATCTCACCACTTGTATATACTTATATTGTTTTACTATGTAAATAAATGGGTGTGACTCCTAAAGAGGCATGTTTAACCCCTTAAGGACCAAACTTCTCGAATACAAGGGAATCATGACATGTCACACATGTCATGTGTCCTTAAGGGGTTAACTCAATACTGGAGCACTCACATAGAATCCCTAGTGGGAACATAGAAAAATTGATTATAAGCAAAAAAACTTGGACCTGCATCTAGGAAAGTGTGGTGCAGCAGCTGATATTGGTCTACAACTGCTAAAGACCTCAGGTAATCTGAGTGTAAAGGAATGTAATCTGACTGGCTTGACAAAGTGAAAGTTTTATTCCAATAACAGGCGCTAATTGTAAATACTATGAACCAACCACCAGTCATTTGATGATTGCAGTTTCGATCTTTAAAACAATTAGAACAAGAAAGTGTTCAGATTTGCTCTGGTTAGAAGAGTGAAATGGGAGATCTCGTGTTGTAGCCCATTTTGGGTTGGGACTACTTTTTTTTCACAGTCACAGGCAATGGATCCAAATCTATATTGCAACAGCTAAAAATAAGCATTTTAGTAGCGGATATGTTGTCTTTCTAACAAATTCCATCTGAAGAATCTTTAGTAGTAATGCAACAAACAAAACGAATTCAGTCATTAAAGGGACACTTTAAAGGACCACTATAGTGCCAGGAAAACATACTTGTTTTCCTGACACTATAGTGACCTGAGGGTGCGCCCACCCTCAGGGTCCCCCTCCCGCCCGGCTCTGGGGAGAGGAAAGGGGTAAAAACGTACCTTTTTCCAGCACTGGGCGGGGCGCTCTCCTCCTCCGATCCTCCTCCGTTCGTCTGAATGCGCACGCGCGCATTCAGCCGGTCGCATAGGAAAGCATTTACAAGGCTTTCCTATGGACGCTTGCGTGCTCTCTCTGTGATTTTCACAGTGAGAATCACGCAAGTGCCTCTAGCGGCTGTCAGTGAGACAGCCGCTAGAGGAATTGGAGGAAGGATTAACCCATTTGTAAACATAGCAATTTCTCTGAAAATAATGGGTTAATCCTAGCTGGATCTGGCACCCAGACCACTTCATTAAGCTGAAGTGGTCTGGGTGCCTAGAGTGGTCCTTTAAGCACCAAAACAACATTTGCTTAATTAAGTGGTTTTTGTGTATAGATCTTATCCTGGCAGTCTCACTGCTCAATTTTCTGCTGGCTAGGAGTTAATTCACTTTTGTCTTTCGTTTATGAAGCTCTAGTCACACCTCCCATGGCCATATTTCACAGTCTGTTTAATCTAGAATTTCTTATTTTCTATCAATAGCCTGCTAGAGTCTGCAACAGCCTCATGTGTATGATAAAAGTTCAATTAACAGAGCAGGAGATAACAACGTCTAAAGTAAACACACTGTGCTGCCATATGTGATTGAAAATTAAACAATTTTTTAATGTTTGCTGTGTGAGTTACAGTCAGGGAAGGTGTGGCTAGGACTGCATACACAGACCCCTGGCACAAAAGTGAGCAATGCAGATAGCAGGGGCATGATATAGACACTAAAACGGATTAATTAAGCTAAAGTTGCTTTGGTGCTTAAAGTATCCCGTTAACAAATTAAGTGCCAAAAGTGGCTTTATGTCCTCCTGTGCACTAGCCAGTGATTAAGTGCTCACCTGTTTCTTCACATTTAAAATCAGATCCACAAATATTTTTTTGGACACATTTATCTGCGGTTTTGCATATCATTGTTTCCATAAGTGTCCCGATACAAATACGTCCATTATACTTCGCTGGCTGATCCAGGCTCCTGAACCTGTGCTGTGCAACACAAAAAAGAACAAATTCAAGAAACATAAATACATATGCTATATGCATTCTTATTTCTCAGGTTGTGTCATGTTTTTTTATTACATTCATTCATTTTAATAGCATATCAGAAGATGAGTATTGCACACTGAAAAAGGGACATTAACCGGAGTATTGCAAATTCTACGTCAAATTAGCCAAGCTGGGAAATAGCTAACCTGGACAATGCTTCTAATAATGTTCAGTTTGCAAATCCCTGTTCAATTCACAACAATTCCTGGTTCAGTAAATAATCCTGATGGTGTAAAATAAACAAATAGATATATACACATTTTTATGTTGTCCTGAAGAAAGTTCCTATGTGGAACTAAAATGCTGACCGCTATGGATTATATTGAATAAAGAAGATATGTTTGGAACTCCTAGAGTGCTGGTATCATTAAACTTTATAGGCAGTGTGGCGCTGACACCAGGTAAATATATAACTTTCAATGTGGAGTGCAAAGCCTGTATATATATATACACAAAAAAACAAGTCCTGCGCTCAAACTCCCATCACTCCTAGGTGGCAGCAATGGCCACAGTACACACCAGTCCCAATACGTACAGTAAAAACCAAAGGAAAAAAAGTTACCTGTGCTCTTCTCAAATCCCTATGCATATTTAAACAAATGGAGGTTATTTCGTTTCTCCAATGGCCATTAGAAACTTTAGCCCACCTGCCACGTCAAGGGAAACCTCTCAGGTGGGTCCTACACTAACCTTTCACCTTGCTTCCCTGAGCTTCTGACGAAGATATCTCTAATGAGACAGAAAGGGGTATTTTTTTTTATATACACCCCTACATGCTTAATAAACCCTAATAAGGAACACATGGGATGGGCGGCAGCATTGTAACATAGCTGTGTGATACAAAGTAAATACAAATACAAAAAAAAACAAGTCCTGCGCTCAAACTCCCATCACTCCTGGGCGGCAGCAACGACCACAGTACACACCAGCCCTAATACATACAGTAAGAAAAGTTACCTGCGCTCTTCCCAAATCCCTATGCATATTTAAACAAATAGAGGTTATTTAGTTTCTCCAATGGCAATTTAACTTTAGCCCACCTGCCACATCAAAGGAAACCTCTCAGGTGGAACTTTCACCTTGCTTAACCCCTTAAGGACCAAACTTCTGGAATAAAAGGGAATCATGACATGTCACACATGTCATGTGTCCTTAAGGGGTTAAAGAGCCAGCATTATATGAACAGTGTAAAAATAAACGTTTCAGTAGGTGAGCCACCTAAAATGTATGTAGGTTAAAGTCACATTGCAAGTCCCTTATGCATTACCTAGATCAGTGATTCATAACTCTAGACAGGGACCAAAAATTAGATCTCCATGCTAGATTAGTGTATCCTTTGTGGTTGGAACAGACACATTGCATGTATCACGCTGCATGAAACTACCAACAATACATTGGTTATCATAACATCATTGTCTTCCTAGGTGCAGTTCACACCCCTCTTACAGTGGGAAGCGTTTAATGATGAAAAACAATCAATCCTGAAACTGTCGAGAAGAAAGTTCTGCAACATTAATTTGAGATATGTTAAAGAAGTATTTTTAGAAGACGATCACAAGATGGTTTTACTTTCTATTGCTACATTTTTTTTTATTATCTCACTCACCCTATCCATTTATCTATAAAAAAATTATAAAACATTCATCTAATCTTTGTTTTACTTTTACTAATGGTCAAATTGGAAAATAAATCTTACTTTTCTTTCTTGGCATGGGAAACATGAAGACCATTCAGACCACTGACCTAGCCGGCAGTCAACAGGTGGAAGTGGAGCCGCCCATACATCTCTGGCGCTTCTCCTGCAAATACAAGATGACAATACTGTATGATGTAACACTAGCATTATTTATAAGTGTAACATGTTGTAGGAAATGCTTATAAAGTAAACGCATGCAGTGATACAGAGAAATTCTCTCCTGTAGGAAGGAGCAACTCTGATGAATGTACTAGAAATAGAAAAATTATTTGTGGCAAACACACCGAAAGAATATATCACTCCCCTGGTCCTATGTTCCTCCTCTCCTCCATAGACACCCAAACCATCTCCTTCCTGTCTGCAAACTATTCCCGAAATGGAACGTACTGAATGAGTCAATGAAATCTCCACAGATTCAAGTGCTATTCGAACAGAATGGGTGTATCACTAATAGCTGTACGGGGATATAAGACTTGTGGGGATTCATAGTTATTTTTGTTTTGGGGGTTTTCATTTATTCGGCTCTTTGTATCCGGGAGATAATTAACTTACTGAGCTTTGACTCAATTATCTCCTAGAAACAGAGACGCATGGGTGGGATCAATGTGTAAAAGAATGGAGACCCATGCTGGCTGCATTCTGAGCAAAAACAGATTGTGAGGAACAGGAGAGTTTAGCAGAGGTAACCAGTCGGTTTATTGGTTGTCCACTACATAATTTATGGGAAAAAAATGTCCATTATTCATTAAAGCTAATAAAGAACCACATTTATAAGAGTCCTGCTTTCTTACAGAGCTGTTCATAACCATCTTTTTATATTAAAAAGTTTTGGCTGTCATAACGCCATAGGGTGCACTGCTAGATCATATGTTGAATACTGTATGATTATAGAAATGTTATTGCAATATTTTCAGGGATATTTACTAAAATTAGAATTCAAAGTGAATTGACCTGAATTTCAGATTGAAGGACAGCATAGCAAAACTAAAAAAAAAGTGCTATTTTTACCTTGAATTTTAAATTCACTTTGAATTCTCACATTAGTAAATAAACCTTTTGGTTTTTTTAAATTGTCATTTTTAGAATGGACTGATAATCTAGCTATGTGGATTACAACACAATCTCAAAGCAGGTCTGTTGTGATGCGAAAGGAATGAGTTTGGCTCAGAAAAAAAAGGCTTATTAGACAATCAGGCCTATTAGTAAAAGACCAGCATCTGGTAATATCATGTGTATTATTAGGAAATGTTTTTCAGTTTGCAAATGTGTATAATTCCACTACTATACTCCATAATTCCACTATGATACGCTATAACTCCACTATGATATGCTAATTTTGGCATTTAGTCTAATATTATAGAGAAAATAACATTTATCAGTTAAGGATACAATGCATTTATTCATTACGTAGAGAATTTAGAATATTAAAGACCAGATTGCAAAATTTAAGCTATAATTGCAAAAGTGTGTCTATAGCCGGGCTGGACATATTTTGCAAAGACTTTATTTTGGCCTAAATTTTGCAATCTTGTTTAGGATTTACCACCGTACAGTGTTAAGTAAATAAACCCTATGTTATTTGGGAAAAGCAATGCCAGTAAATCCTGCAGAAATATTATGTGAATCAGAGTTAATTTTCTTTATTTTAATTAGTTATTTTGGAACAAAATTTTGTTTCAGGTGTAATCAAATAAAAAAACAAAAAATTTTATAGTGAAAATACTACATTTTAACATTGTTTTGTTACAACTTTGATTAAAAAAAACCAAAAAACATGATAAAATGCAGCCAGGCCTATAAAGTGCGACTTTTATTTCAGAGTTGTTTAAATTAGTTGTGTAGGATTCCTCCATGGGAAAACTATATCTTATGGTATAGATTTTTTTTTTTATTGTTCAGGTCTGGTTTTGTGCGCTGTGCTCGGTTTTTATGTATTCTGAAAAAATAATAAATAAACAGATAAAACCTGTAGAGGAACTGTTTATAACCATTGAGTTAATGATTCTAATAAAATGGGGCAGAAAGAAAAAAGAAATCTGTGGGTGTAAAGGTTTTGAATTTTGTAAATGCATTTATAGGAAATTTGCTGATAATGTATTGAATTAATTTTCAATCAAATACAACAACTGACACAATTACCTGTCTTCAGAAAATATATATCAAAAACAGAAAAACAAATAGCAATTAGTATTTCAAATTAGTAAGCCAAATTCTTTTTTCATTCATTACATTATCTTGGCAACTCTGCAAATGCCACTTAGAATCAAGATACTGTTTGATAGGAGTTGTAACACATTTATTCTATGACTAAATTTGATCTTGGACCTTCACGTAAGTCTCGAAAGGAATATCTGGGCCCACTGGGAAGATTTAAATCTGTCATGCATAATTGCGTAATTCAGCTTCAATTTGAAAAAGCTAAATTTGGGAAATTGTCAGAATGTAAGTGTAGTCTTCGTTCATATGTAGAAAAGAGACTCTGGTGTGCATTGGGATCAAATAGACCATTTACCCTTTGATTTAATCATTCCAGAATCAATGCAACTTTACATGCAATGTCTGGAAATAGCTAAAATATAATAAAATTCATTCCATTCTATCCCCATGGAAAACTCGTCCAAGATGTCTTAAATTTGCCTGTATTCCACTTCCACGCACAGCAAAACTTTGCAAAACTCTGTAAACATTGCTATTTTAAGAAAATGATTCACAGTTTGATTCTGAAATATACAAACTGCAATCACTCACAAAAGTACTACTGGATGTCCTATTTTTTAATCAAAACTGCAAAAAATGCGTAATCCTGATACTAAAGTTGTCCCAGAAGAAAAAAATAGGAGAATCCTTTCTTTCACAACACAATTAAAAGTCACACATATACTATGGAACAGTATCTAAACATATACAATAGAAATCCATAGAAAACCAATGTTGTGTTGCAGACACCTCTCTAATAGAGTCGAGAGATGGTATGGGGACTAATTCTTAGTACATTTTTCAGTTATGTATTCACATTATCTTGTATATGTATATATGTATACAGTTTCTTTTTAGCCCTTACCTGTGGGATAATGGAATGTCAGCACTTTCTTCTCCTGTTCCAATGGATAAATGTGAGAAAAAATGGAAAGTGTACAATAGAAAAATACATAGATCTTTACAAGTCCACATGTTTCCCAACTAATTTTTTCTCTTAGGTTTTTTGATGGAGTTGAATATCCTGGCATTCAGTTGCTATTTTGAACAGTGAATCATTGACAGAAATTCAGCTATTGCCCCTGATAATCCGAGAAGAGAATTGCCAAATCGAAAACCAAAGTTTACAAAGAGTAAATCTGTGTTTGTTGCACCAACCCCCACTTTTTTTTACTTTTCCACCATAAAACCTATAATCCCAGACATTGCAAACAACTGGTATCTTCAGTGTGAAGCAATTATTTATCTAGAATAAGCAAGCACCATTGTGTTTAATGGACTAGTGGATTTAGAGGCTTGTTTATTTTATTTTTTTTTAACAGTGAAAATAAAGAACGTCCTTGACATCATGAGATCATTACTTTAAAATATTTGAAAACTATTGAATTTAGACTATGTTTAATGTTTGTTTTTAACCTAAGCCTGATCTCTAAACGTAACCTGTGTGCTATCCCAAATCCATATGCACATTTAAATTACAGAGGTTTAAGTACTAGACTTATGCACAGGAGAAAGAATTTGCTTTTTGTGAACCATTTCGTCCCCCCAAACGTTTTGCTCAGTTGATCCGAAGTTTGCCCACGCAGTGCTTAAGTTTTCGTTTATGCAACGATTTTGGTAAGAACTATTCAGGTGAATGAAAATGACTTGAAAATACACCTATCAGTGTACTGCAAAATATATGCATAATATTTACATGTATGTGCATTCTGACGGACCTTGGGTTTATTTATTTCATTTATTTGATTTAGTGACTGTTCCTTAACCATCAGTTATCTTTTTCTGGGCCGTCATGGACGGAACTACGAATTACAACAATTCAGTCAAATGGCAATTCAGAGTTAGGTAATCTGGACGTTTTACTGATCACACAAATCATGATTCGGTCAAAACTGAATGCACCAGTCTGTCACCACTCCAATGGGCATTAAAGGGTAAGCTCTCCTAGACTAAACTCTTAGGTGATACCTAAACTAATTATTCACCTTGAGGCCTTTAGTTAAAATGCATAATCTCTTATAAGACAGATTTTTTTAATTTTATTTTTTTAATTCTCCAGTTCAGCTTATTTGACCTAAAACATGTCCTTGAATCCTACTTTTATTATACCTTTCATTTAAATAAAGAACAATTCCAAATGGTTTGATTGATTTACACAATCAAAAATGAGTAACAACAAACTAAAGTAGTAAACAAAATGAATTTATGAACTACATATCATGCAGTGAAGTAGAAATAAATAAATTAATTGGCATAGTATGGACTACTGATAAGTATGTTATAAGAACAAAAGTGTCTATCACGATATCATCTTCCGTTTCGCTTCTCCCCTTTACTGATGTCTGCAGATGCAGCTGGTTTTTAACTGTGCATGTCATCTCATTGGGTTAAATAGGCAGAGTTTAACAAGTCAGTGGGGTCAGTGCACCACCATTTTTAAACTTCACTAGCTGCCAATGGTATGACGGATTGAGATGGTTTGAATGGTTTTGCATTAAACTCTGATTGAAGTAACACTTCACCATAACCAGTACACAAAAACAAGCTGTAATGGTTATGGTACCAGGAGTGCCCTGGCGCCAACCATTATTGTGTATTTAAACTGCTATCGAGAGGCTTAACTTCATACTTGGGTTCTTCCAGATGTCGCTCCCTTCCTCCACTGAAGCTAGAAGCTTTCTGCCGGAGCTAAACCCAGCTATGCAGGACTTAGTTAATTTGCAGAGAGCGATCAGCTTAGTTCAGGAGAGTTAAGGGAAGCTCCCTAGCATGAGTTACAAACTCTCCTGGTAGCTGAAAGGTCACCTACCAGCAGACAAAAAATAAATATAAAAAAACAGTTCTAAAATGGTTTTACTACATTAAATGGGCACTAGTGGCACCTTGACCAATATATCGCTCTGTAGTAGTTATCCAGTTTCCAGTGTTCCTTTAATTCATCTACCATGAACTTGTCAACCTTTTTATGTACACATGTTGGACAATAGTGACACCTAGTGGATTAAGAAGATAGCTACTAACCAGAGAACTTTAAACTTTTGAAACTCATCTGTTGCAAGGGATATATTTAAAATGAGATACAGAGTTACTACTGAATAATAATGTGGTAAATTTAAAAAAATGAAGAGAGAACATCAACATTGATTCTCGAATCTGTCATGTATAATGAATGTGGATGCAAAAAGACAGGGAACACATATATATATATATATATATCATTTTTTAAGGCCCTTGCCTCATCATCCCAGTTTTTTACCACAAGTCCTGCTTCTGAGATCCACAAGAAGCCTAGAACAGAAGGAAGGAACACGTTGTGAAATATGTGAGAACATGTATTTGCTTCAATACTTCCATTGCTTAGCTTCAAGGGCAGCTTAGCCCACAGGAGGGATTGCAGGACACATTTTCGTCTCTCCAAAATCAGATTGAAAATTGGATTACCACAGAGGACAGGATTCTATTCATTTACCAGGCCTATCTGGAATAGCGTAGGCAAAATTAGATTTTGGCACTTTTCTTATTGGACTACTTGAAACAGGTTTTAGTGTTTTTTTAAATACTAAATTTGGTATGATCTTTGTGCATTCTAAAATTTAGACTTGTGCATGGCAAAAAAAATTTTATTTGTCCGAAATGATTTGCACAATTTTTTTTCTAATTTCAAATTTCGCACAGGAATGTTTCAGTTCGCCCAAATATCTACACCCATGAGAAATGATTCAGATGAATCGGAAATTTTTTTTTCAGATGCATTAGAAAAAAGTTTGACTCCCATGTTAGTAAAAGGGAGGTATAATGAACTTTCTGATAGTCTCATCTCTCAAGACTTTACTGAGACTCACTGCAAGTTTTAGAAACATAGAATGTGACGGCAGATAAGAACCATTCGACCCATCGAGCCTGCCCAATTTTCTAAATACTTTCATTAGTCCCTGGCCTTATCTTATAGTTAGGATAGCCTTATGCCTATAAACTCACTCACCATATTAACCTCTACCACTTCAGCTGGAAGGCTATTTCATGCAACCACTACCCTCTATGTAAAGTAATATTTCCTGATATTTTTAAACCTTTACTGTGTCGATTCCCTTTATGAATTTAAATGTTTTTATCATATTCCCCTCCGTCTCGTCTTTCCTCCAAGCTATACATGTTAAGATCCTTTAACCTTTCCTTGTTAGTTTTATCCTGCAATCCATGAACCAGTATAGAAATACACCTCATCTAACCACTGGACAACCTCCAGCATGACTTTTGTTAGGTCGAGTACTCAGGACAAAGTTGGATCCATTAAAGCCTGAGATTCAGCATAGGGTCATCAAACAACAATCGAAGTTGCAAGGCACAAAAGCAGGCCGTTGTTATCAGATAGAGGATTCTGTTTGGATGCGTGCATATCATCAGGAGAATCGTTGGCAAGCAGCGGTGATAACAGAAGTTCTGGGGTCAGCACACTATAAAGGTTTAGCCCCAAATGGATATTGAAACCGGACAATGATATCTGGCACGGAGTGTGACATGATGACGATTCTGAAGTCTGCAATATACCTGCTCCTGAGCTCAAGATAGAGATCATTTTCATATCATAGGGATGATTTGGAAGCAATATTCCACAATACTCAGGAAAAATAAGTTCCAAGTCACAGTACAAGTAACTATGAAGGCCGTGGTCAAGAAAATACTGGCCATTTCACAAGAGAGAGATGGGCCCCAAACCGATGACAACTGCAAGATCCATTAAAAGACTATATTCAGAAAAACTCCACAGTGAGAAAGCGTAAATGGTATCCTAGCACAAGTAGAATAAGTTATCCTGAAACAAAGATTGTGGATCTGAAAGATGATGGACAAAAGAAGGAGCATACATGCAATAAAGATGCTATCTTGATCTATTGCTGCATATTACATAGGTTCCAGGTCTTTTAATCCCTTGTTGGAACATGGTCAGTGTTAAGATTTTCCTATTGTATGGTGGATTATTCACTAAAGTGAGAATTCAAGGTGAATTTCAAATTATAGGTATTAGCAGCCAAACTGGAAACATTGTCCAAGCCAGCTATGCTTTCAGCTTCAGCCTCAGCCTTAAAGGAATACTATAGAATCATGAACACATATGTATTCCTGATCCTATAGTGTTAAAAACACACTCTAGCCCCCCTAAATATAGTAATATCTTACCTTTATTCAAGCCTACTGTTGCTGGCTCTTCCCCTAACCTGCCTCCTTGGCTGACATCAGAAGTGTTGATCTGAGCCAATCACAATGCTTTCCCATTGGATTGGCTGAGATTGCAAAGGGGGTGGGGCAGAGAAGTAGCCAAATGCCACCCTGTCCAATCAGCATCTCCTCATAGAGATGAATTGAATCAACGCATCTCTATGAGTAAAGTTCAGTCTCTCAATGCAGAGGATGGAGACGCTGAATGGCACATTGTGCAACACTGCCCCATCTGATGAGTGGCCACTGGAGGAGTCCCTAGGCTGTAATGTAAACAATGATTTTTCTCTGAAAAAACAGTGCTTACAGCAAAAAGCATGCAGAGACAGACTATACTCAGTACTAGTTGTTCTGGTATCTAGTGTCCCTTTAAATTTAAAATTCCCTTTTATATCTCACTTTAGTGAATAACTCTGCATTAGTGTTTTAGCTAACCTACACACAAGGTTTGTTCTTCCCAGCACCAAAAAAAATTACATTAAACAAAGTTTATTAATATTAATTGGGAACATGGAAAACATGCTGAATCATTTCCGAAAATTGACCCTGTCTAGAATTTTTGGGAACTCTAGAAAAGCAAGGCTGGAGAGTCAAAGTATATCCACCCCATCACATTTCTGTATGGTAGTTAATTTTGCTCAGAACATCCAATATTCAATTCTGGATTCAGAGGACAAGTGTTATTTTAGTTACTCTTTAATAACAGTTCATGGTATAGCAAACTTCCTGCTCTCCCTGTTACTAATGAAGGTTTATTGCTCAACAGTTTAAAATGCTCTCTACTAGTTTTGATACCCTGCCACATGCACATCCAAATGCTTCTCATAGGAAAGTATTACATTCACTGCTTTCGTATGAGCTGTAACCTCATGTGACCGAGTATTACGTTGTTGTTGTTGTTGTTGTTGTTGTTGTTGTTGAAAACGCACCTCAAGGGACTGTCTGGAATGGAGCTACTATTAAGTGTGTTTAAGCCTTCGAAGTAAAAATTGCACTTTCTATAAAACTACACTGTTTTACATTGCAGGGTTAAATGAACAACTGCATCCAAACCACTTCACTGATATGAATCCTTTAAGACTGGACTTGTCATTTACCCAGGTCAGAAGTAGGTTTCAACAATTACACCTATTTACATAAACCTAATAAGGTGGGTGGGTACACTTGGAGATAGTTTCATTCTTCATCATGGAAGGGGACATGTACTGTTAAGGCTTACACCACATTGGACACAAAACATTGTTTTTCATCATGTCTTGTTTCTTAGTTTCTCAAGCATGCAAATGAATCAGTAGGATGTTGGACCCTGCCTTGATGAATTTCAAATACTAATTAATACTACCTTCAAACATGCATTAGTAAATCATTTAATCATGGATACTCCTTTATTATATGTTAAATATCTTTGTGGCTACTTCATTGTATTATTATTCATAGTTACTATGTACCTTTCATTGTCCACTGGAAGTTTCCTGCCTGAGCATTTTTTGTTTTCTTTTTTGAAAACACCTTTTTTCTATTTCCATTGTAGATCCTGACTTCCAAGAAATGTTCTCTCTCCTTTGAAGGTTGTAAGTAATATGATGTATGTTGAGAATAACATATATGCTTGGGCCAAGATCACTGTAAGAACACAGGACCTTTCTTCAACTTATAAAAAAAATGTCTTCACCAACTTCAAGGTTTTGATGTACCGTAATATTTCTAATTTTGATGTTCACGCATACAATGTGATATGCACAGTACACTTAACTTATTTTACATACAAATAGTAAAAGCTCTTATTGACTCGTTAAAAGATGCAACAGAAAAAAATTAAATTTAAGATATTTTGCTGAGCAGTATTTTTTCTTCTTCTCTCAAAGTGACAATTGAAGTCAACAAAATAGAGCCTAAGTCAATAAACCGTTATAAACAATAAGTTTACAAAATAAAGCCACAATAAACAATAGGGATTAAAACTCAGTGTAGAACATTTAATATTTACCTGCTACTTATAGGCCAGTCAGGAGGCACTTTGTGCTTAGAGAACTGTTTAAGGACTAACCTTTCTTCTTCCTTCTCAAGCGTATTTAGTTAAACTACATTTTTATAAAAAAATTCAGCTTTTTCAATAGAGGAAAAGGGGACAGTGCAGTTATGGGAACAGTACTTACAGCTGCTCTGATGCAAAAATCCAATGTTTAGCAGCCACATTTAGTCACATTGTCCTAATTGGACATGCCACTCAATAGGATTTCCTACCACTTGAGAGTCCTGTTTTATAAGTCCTTTTTATGCTTCTTTTCCTTAATAACTGCTCTTTATCTGCAACATGTCCGCAAGACCATTCTTTGAAGATAAACACCCTAGCAGACGACCTCATCAGATAAAAAAAAGACAAAGACTTAAAATGATCACACTGGGATTAAACATAACTATGACATAGAATGTCATTGACACGGACACACATTGGAAAGACAGGAACTGTAAGTAATATAAACTTTGGTCTGATTGACCAAAGTTTTGTGGGCCACCTCCTTGTGCATTTTCTTGAGAATTGGAGCTTTTAATTTTTTTCTATTTTATAAGTGATCTTCCTAAATAACTTCAAACTCTTATTACACAGTATTACCTTGTTTGGTATTCCGCTAAACAAATATTAGCTAGGAATCCAACCACAGAGAATGTGATCTGCAATTTAAGTTATGGGGTAGGAGTATCCAGGAACTGTTTGGCAACAGTTTAATCTCTATGTTGAGGCTCATTCACGGGGCACTTCTGCCTCTCAGCTTCCATTACTCTTTGCAGTGTAGTACAAGGTACGGTTCGCCAGGAGCTCATTGATAGGCCAAGAGCATCAGCTGACATTGTCAGCGTATCAATGGACAGCCACTGAAATAAAAAGAAAAGATACTATTTTTATCAATGGGTGCCCACTCTCAGCCAATCAGCAGCCGCCTGACTAACCCAACCATGTACTGCACTGTAGAGAGGAATAGAAGCCGGGAGGAATAAGTGATGGATGCCAAGCACCAACTCTGGGTTTAAACCGTTGCCAAACATTTCAACCACTGAAGACAAGAAGGCTCCCAGCCACTCCTGCCTACATAATTGAAATTGTTATTGGAGTGTTTTTTTAAAATCATTTCTTGATATGTCATGCCAATTCCAAAAACTATAGAGCCACCAAACTAGCATGGGACCAAAATTTGAAATCCAGACCCAATGGTTAAGAATTATTGGCATTAGGCATGCAATGATTGTTATGATGGGTAAAAAAAAAAACATTGTACAGTATAAGGGGTTAACATTCATATATTCTGTACATTTATTCTTATAAGAGTGCAGAGAATAGGTAGCGGCCGAAGGAGCAATATATTTTAGGTTCAATAAAAAATAAAAAAAATTGAAAGAACAAACCCGCTTAAGGAAAGAATCTCTCATTCTGGAGGGTATGTGTTCTCATTAAGAAACTCAGCAAGGAGAAAAACAAACATTTTGTGGGACAAATATTTGGAAAATTAGACCAATGTCTTGATCTAAAAATTTCTGGTGGTTTTAATATTTTTATTTGGTTGGTATGAAGACCAAGGAGGATTTCTGTCACAAAACATTGTTTTCATGTCTTCATAATTGTTGGGGGGCTTCCAAGGTCAATTACTGCATCATTTCATATACTTGCACCATCTTCCATGCACAATTTACATCACAGACGAGACATCTTCGATCCTGCACATACAGCCATTTTTTTCCCCAGTGCCTGACAAACACACATTACACGGCAGAACAATTATTTCTCTATTATGTCACTTTCTGCAATAATCAAAACAAACTGATCTCCAGCATTTATTAAAATCTTTTTTTAAGTTCATAAACGACAACAAAGTTACTGTAGAAGGTATGGCATACAGCTAGCGTACAACAGCATATCCTCAGTCTAAATGAAATACAAAAGATTTTAACGTTTTCATACAAAGAATTCTTTTAAATTTATTGTGACGTATATATATATTTTGTTACATAAAATTTGCTACAGCAAAGTATCTTATACCTTTCTTGCACATATGTAAGTAAGGGTGGACAAAGACTGCCATTATCAGTCTCTTAATCGCGTAGTTTGTGCAAAACTGCTCGACGACCTAAAGACGTACAGAATGTCGGACAGTAACTAAGGCTTCTTGTCACAGGAGTGTTACACAGATTAAAAGGAAGTATTGCCAGCGATCTCCTGACATTCAAACAAATACAATGGCTGGATATTCATCCTTCATAAAAACAATTCCTTCTTTTATGTATGAAAATGGCTCCGAAAATGCGACCCTCAGACAGGTCATCAAGATAAACAGTCAACGCTCTGAGTGCAGCAGGAATGAGCGACACACCAGTGGCATTGAGAACGTTAAAAGGATACATTTTCCAAAATGTGTGAAACACTGAAATTTGCTTGTGAAAGTGCTAGACGCTGGCGCAGTCAGTAAGATAAAAAAAAAAAAAAAAAATCTATGGCCAAACACTACCTGTGCGAGTGACAAAAGCAAAATTAACACACAAAACGGTGGCAGTTTATTCATTACACAGAGCTCCATCCTCAGTTTACTAATATAGTATACCAGAACACAATTTGGCAACAACCTTCTTACTCCGCTAACAAAAAAAATTATCAACCTTCATCTTAGGAACGCATCCATGATCTGCGCGGTTGCTAAACCACTTGTTATGCCAGAGCCGATCATTTGCCTTTTCTATATCCCATCTCAACAAATGTATTTATAGTTCAAAAATAAAATCCAGATTTGAATACAGAACTAGTTACGGAGTCCTAATAAACTCACTTTACTCACTCTTTTTTTTTTATTATTTATCATGATCCATTAAAAATACTGACCAAAACTTTAAGAGAGAAGGTTTAGTGGTAATAAAACCAATCTCAAACATAGTGACATGGTGGGGGAAGTCACCACCTGGAAATCCTCACTCCTAACCAGTGGCTGAGCTGTGTGGCATACTGTTGGATCACACAGCACATTTCGATCCCACCTAAGTGAGGGATACCCCAGACCGGGCAGCATGATTACATGGAGTATAGAAAACCAAGGCACAGGGTCTACCTATCAAACATTGCACTTCAGCTGTTTTTTTTCTACCCAGTTTTGGTCAATCTCTGGGAAGATGATCTCTTTCCATTTGTAGCTTTATGGCCATATCGAGTGTGGTATAATTGAGCTATGAAATGATTCCTCTACCCTCAGACAGACTGACAAAGAAAAAAAAACAAACCTATGGGGTGGCAACATCTCCCGGATTCACTCAAACAAATACATTTCCAAAATAAAAGGGAGTGTAAATAGGTAAAATATCTACTTAAAAAATAAGAGTGAGGGAGGGGGCCAAATATACAAGACGCAAACATAATAGAAAGGAAAAACCAAAGGATAAGTGGTCTAGTATTGTTACAGCACAAGTAGCCTCGTTGTGCCAGGTTAAAAGGTTGGTGCAAACTGCACACATGGAAGATGGCAAATTGACACCTCAGTCAGCTTCGCGGAATGATGGAACAAGGTAAGATGGTCTCCGCTCCACCCCATCGGATAACAGAGTGCAAATATCCCAATATGAGCCCTGACTTCATTTTGTCCTCAAACATCCTAAAAGTCAGCAAATTCCTTTGCACATTTTTCTGTGAGTGACACACGGATATCTTCTTCCTCATAATCGTCGAAATTGCTGGTATCACCAGGTCCTCTGCACTTTGGGATGAATGGGGCTTCTACCTATAGGACAAAAAAAAACAAAAAGGGAATTGATGAGAAATGCCTGCAAAATTCCACTGAAATCACCACCCAAACACATACAACTTCAATTCCAGAGCATGCTGCTGCTACTCAAATAATACCATTCCTTAATCATAAAGCATGCAGCCACTATCTGCCTAAACATACTACTTCCATAAACTTAACCCAAAAGCATACTATTTCAAATCAAGCATTATGCATTTACCAAAATACACGCCTTACCTCAAAACCAAAATATCTCATCAATGAAATACAAAACTGCTTCAATCCAAAAGCACCTCACCTCCACTCAAATATAAACTACTTTAAATAGTTATTCTATCAAATTCAAATACCACAGCCTACCAAGTTTTTATGGCTCAACATGTGTGTGTAAAAAAAAAAAACAAGTGCTGAAAGAGCAGAGTAGATAATTAAGGTTTGAAGCACAGAAATGTCAACTAATTATCAGGTTCATTGTGATAAGCTAATAATCATCTTGTCTAAATTAACAAACAACTGCTTTCTTATAATAAACCGAAAGACTATTTTTGATACTGTGATTATTTCCTTTCTAGAAATCTCCTGAGAAGTGGGCGATGAAATGAGGGTTAGAAACCCGAGACTAGCACTAAATAAAATGGACGATGGCAAACCTCTCTAAACAGAACTGGATAAAAGCTGGTTATTACGAGAGATGCACTGTCAACTAAGAAAATCCGAGCTGCTAGTTGATGAATCCTCACTCTGAATTTACATTATGATGCTAGGATAAAATACTGACAAACTTTGCAGGTGAATGAATAGAAAAGCAAAGTGAAGAATTATTGTACCTTTCTCTGGTAAATGGCAATCCAATCTGTAGTGGCAAACCACTTGT